CCCACCCCGCCTTCTGAAACCCTTAAAGGGCTGGGAGGCACCGGCGCCAAGGGGTTAAGGACAGCATCTTGTCCATGAACCGTTTTACCCGGGGCAGTTGCAATTTAACAATGTTCTCTTCTCATGTATAAATGTGGTCAAACCACCAAATAAAGCATCTCAACAGTTCAGTATCTGATTTTTGCCCATCAGACATCAATCAGATTCTGAACATATTACTTTCCCTTTGCATAAGGTGACCATACACTAATTAGCGGAGTATCATCACTGCATTTCAAAAAGGGACGTTGAATCCTTCAACGGATTAAGTGCATATAGCACCGAGTCCCATTATGATTTGTGATGTAGTTTATGCGCTAGTGAGGTCAACAGCAAGCCACCCTCCTCCCACCGCTGTCTGACCATGATGCTTACTAGGAGATGAACACATACTTGGGTCTAATTAACAGTGCTAGTCTCTGGAAGCAGGCGCTCACTGAAAACGAAGGCAAAGCAGAGAGAGGGGTTATAGATTAGATCCCACACATTGGCACAAAGTTATCAGTGCTGCTGGGGCTGTGTGATCAGTCAGCTACTTGTAAACATACACTGCACTGACAGTGGCAAAACAGTTTGTTTAACTTCCCCCTCAAAATCCTCATTTGCCTGGAAGCACCTTGGCGAAATTATTACTATTATACAGGATTTATATAGCGCCAACAGTTTGCGCAGCGCTTTACAAAATGTTATACAAACAATTCTGAAACCATCAGCACAGCACATCTTTACAAGCAGCCAGCTGATCACACAGCCCCACCACCATGAGCCAAGCCAGAATAATTGGTATAACTTCCCCAAGGCACAACTGGGCAACAGAGAACACCAAGGAGGAAGTTATACGGACTATTCTGATACAGTCAGCGGTGGCAGGCTGAAGATGGACCACTTTTACGGGCTACTGTTCTTCACAGACAGTAATGCATGATCAGCTACCGCACAATGATCGTTCTGTATGTTACCTTGCCCTGTCATGAGATCGGCACCAGTAGTTCTTAGTGCATACCTCTTTGCACAAAAAACACACACACACACACACACGTCCCCATCTCATCTCTCCCCTCCTCCCCAAATATTAAACCTGCCAAAAAAATGATCCTTACGTAAGTAAGCTGAAATTCCTAATTCCCATTTGTTTCCGACAATCCAATATCTCATCATATTTGACTCAATAATACATTTTCTGTCCATGCAGTAAAAGCATTGCATTTACGTTGGTGATGCGATAACCACACACAAAGCAACCGTTTTTTACTGAGAGAGTAGCTAAAGTCCCGGAGTAACATCCTCATAGGAACATCCATAAACTGGGGTACAGCTACAATCAGTACACACAGAAAAAAAATGTGCTTTTAAAATGGTTGCAAACCCTCACATATACCCAATGAAGTGACTATCATCAGGTGATGCACAGAGATAAAACATCCTCCAGCATACGTTGTATTTGTTTATCTGCAGTCTTCCCTGCATCCTTTCAAAGTGCTGAATTAATAAGCTTGTCAGAGAGTTCAGAAAAAAAAGGGGGCAGAGAACTGAAGTTACATTCTATGGAGCTCAGCGAGATTTCAGAGAGCTGATTGGAGGGAAGACACACAGGTAAAAAGCAGTGGCTGTCAATCAGCTAGAGGTCACTCCCATGTCATCATTTTTCTCCTGGTGTCAGGAGAATTTGTCAGAAGTTATTCATGCTGATAGCAGAGGAAGAAGCAGTAGACAGAAATGACACTTAGTGCTGTTAATTGAGACAAGTATACACTATAGGAGGGACATGCTTTGTTCTTATTTCATGTCTGAGGTTTACAACCACTTTAATGCACATCAGGGCCATGGATCAAAAGTGGGACCAAGTGCTATATGTACTTGAAACCCTGGGGGAATCAACATTAAAAAAAATGTGTATTAAGTCTAACATGGCCAGCTTAGCCTTGATGATGGTTACTGGGTACAGGAACCTAAAGGCACATTAGGACAGGTGTGTGAACTGAAGTTTCTACTGACAAGAGGTAAGAACTCCAGCTGCTACTCTTGGCCAATCTATCATGACACCGGTCACCTATCATGACATCTTCATTAAAAAGAAAGAGAATGCAAACTTTGCTAGCTTCTGAAAAGTTACCGGACATTTCAGCAGTAACCTTTTCACTGCGACTGGATGCCTTAGCAAAAAGGACTAACACAGTGTAAAATATCATATGATATTTTATAGACTATTTTTTTTCGCTTTCATACATCTGCCTTACTGAGGTTCCCATCCACAATATCCATACCACTGGAAATAATTAGATTGCAATTATTAGCTTTCTAGTGTTTTCTAGCAGCAAAAAGGGAGCATTTGATTGACTGCTATGAGCAATACCTTTCTAAATTTTTTCTGCATCCATGAAAACCACACCAACGGCTCAGTGTGTCACTAGCTGACAAGTTTCTTGTTTAAGAAAAGCAACAATGACCAGCAAACACCAAGAAATGGCCTCCAGTACTCAGGAACATGGCGCACTAGTAGTGTAAGGGGCCTCATGACACCTTTATCATAAAAGGAACAGATTTCCTTTTAAAGAACTCACCAAAAACCTTTCCGGATCTGGGCTTATCAGCTCCAAATTTAGAAAAATAGTTGTTCTGTCATACCGTTAATTATTCCCATCATCATCTACCAACATAACAAAAGCTGTGCTTTACATTTTGTAAAAATAGTTTTAAAAAGACCAACTAACAAATCTAGAGAATATCTTCTAGAAAACACAAAACAGCCTTATTTATCAAAGTGTCCAAAGCAGAAACTGATCACTTCATTCAGAAATAATTAGCAAAAAAGATCTTCTGGGTAAATGTCATTGTTATAAGGAGAGTGTGCAAAGGAATGCAAATGAATGCCACACTACAATTCCCAACGTGCCCCAAATCTTTGGCTGACTAGGAATACCCACCAGTGAACAGGACCTTTTGGCCTACTAGGTTTCATCAGTGGTTGTTTTGGTCAGCACAAAAGTAAAATGGAAGTGAGTGGAGTTCGAACTGCTTGGCATTAACTTCAAATGAGGAGACTTCAGGCAATGCCCTTGGATGCCCTGTAAGCCCAACGGCCGAGGGGTATTTATTTACTGGTCTGCCATGTAAAATGGCATTTACCCAGAAGTCATTTCTCACTCTAGACAGGCCTTTTCTGCCAATAGGAAGTACTGCCTGAAAATCTCCCAACTTGTACTCATGATTCCTGTGAGATCCCACAGAGATTCTATAGTAGTGGTCTCCAAACTGTGGCTTTTTGCTTGCCTCCATCCAGCCTTTGGGACACTATTCCTCCCACTGACACCAATAATGAAACACTCTTCCTCCCACTGACACCATCAATGGGGCACCATTTCTTCTACTAAGACCAAATAAAGGGGCATGATTTCTCTCTACTAAGACCAATGAAGGGGCACTATTCCTCCAACTGACACCAATAATGAAACACTCTTCCTCCCACTGACACCATTTCTTCTACTGAGACAAATAAAGGGGCATGATTACTTCTACTAAGACCAATGAAGGGGCACTATTCCTCCCACTGACACAGTCGATGGGGCACTATTCCTCCTGTTAAAATCAATGGATGGGGCACTATTCCACCCACTGATGTGGGGAAATCTTCTACTCCCACTGGCCACAGGCCGGCACCCCTGGATGCTTGAAGGACAGTAAACTGGCCCTTTGTTTAAGAAGTTTAAAGACCCCTGTTCTATAGTATATGTCATTGTGAATTTAGACTTTTTTTCCCTTTAAGTGATCAGCCTGATGCAATTAATAATAATGTGTTAGTGTTTTAAAAAAGCTTGCTTCTACTTATGGTTTAGAATTTCTGCTTAGTAATGGTGTACAGTGGGTATACCTGCTCCACTCTTGGTGCCAGCCATTGATTGAAAACAAAGATATTTATCTCACTAGGTTTCTGTGCTTCACAGGCAGATTATGGTCACCAGGAAGGGCCAACAGGGTGCTGTACATAGCTTCCTGAAACCATCACAGAGGCCTGCCTGAATGCTTTGTCTCTTCTGCATTAAAACTACTTATCTGCCTACCCCCCCTTGTGCAGTGAGCCATGCATGCACAGCAGTGACCTCATCCCTGCCGGGCCAATGACTGCAGCCGGAAATCGATACCCAGAAGCCGGCAGCCTAAAAATGGCAGCGGCCGGGCAGGGAGCTCAAGGATGTCGCATTGCTGTAGCTGAGGCGAGCATTGTTCTGCTTTAAAAGCTAAACTAATCCCATCAATTTAACAGTTTAAAAAAAAAAAAAAAGTTACATTCCCGGGAATGCTAACGGTCACATTTGCTTGTGCTCTTAACCTATTGGTCAAACCATAAAATGGCTAGTACCATAACAACTGATCACATGTGCAGCATCATGGCAGTTGCAGATCAAACAGAGGCTAAGAAGGCAGCTTCCTCGGCTGCAAGCGATAGGAGGGTTCAAGTTCCTCTTTAAATCAGAGGAAACCATTTTAGTACAGCAGAGGAGCCTCTACAACTGCACTAGACAGACAATAGAGCTGGAGTTCAGGCAACCAGTTTCTCCCTTATTGCTCTGTGGGGAAAAAAAAAAAAAAAGGTTTACAGCTAACGCAACAAATGACACTTCTGACACTTTGGCTAATAAGGCCCAGTATCCACGAAACAGGGTAAACATGAACAATAATTGTGCAAAGTCTTCAAGACAATCATCAAAGTTGACTTTTAAATCCCCAACGTCATAGTGTCAACAGGTCCTTGCAATCCACAAGTCTTCAAGCCATGTCCACCAACTGGACCTCTGTTTAAACTTTTAAAATTCAGATATTTTTGGTAATGAAATGCAGAAGTTGTGAAAAGTGTTTCTCTTGTCGAAATTGGTCACGACCTCATAACAGACTCGTACAGTCTGGTTGGCAGTCATTCTTGTCGGACACAATCAGTTGTAACACGGAATGTATACGAGTAGTGATCACTTGACGGAATGCTTCAGACTCTTCAGGCCTGAGGTGCTCAGCGTTCGGGATCTCTGTCTAAGAGTCAGTTTGCCAGGAAGTTCTATGCTCTCAAACAAAGGGTTTTCTATTATTTCCTCAGCCTCGGGTCTCTCACTGGGGTTGTGGGAGAGCATATGCCGGACCATGTTTTGCTGTGAGGAGAAGAAAGACACTTAGACTATATACAATGATATGGTCATTACATCCCTATATACTGCAATGATATGGTCATTACATCCATTGCATGTAAACATTCAAAAACAAAACAATACAGGGAGATTTTTTCCCAAGTCACTCAAGTATGTCTGGATGATGAACAGTTCATACATGTGGAATGGGAGACACCAGTACAAAGGCGTTGTAATAAAAGTTTATTTGCATTTTACAATCATCTCGGCCACTTCTTTATTCCTCGAATATACAATATAAAGAATAAAAGGAGAAGATGCACAGGGAACATTTTGGGATAGATGTACACTGTCCTAATTTTATGCATCCTTTCTGAAGTTAAGTATCACCTCTGTTTCTCTCCCCCCCCCCCCCCCCCCCCCAATTCCCCCCCCAATTTTAAGCATTAGCCTACAGGGCTCCTATACACCCCCTTCCTGTCCAGGCCAATTATCACCTTTCAGTGCTGTCACACTTTGAATGACAATTGCGCAGTCTTGCAACACTGTACCCATATAAATATTTTATAATTTTTTTGAGACAGATAGATCTTTCTTTTGGTGGTATTTAATCACCTCTGAGTTTTTTATTTTTTGCTAAACAATCCAAAAACAACTGAAAATTTTGAAAAAACAAAACTTTTTTTCTTAGTTTCTGTTATAATATTTTGTATATAAGTGATATTTCTCCTTCACTGATGTGCAGTAATGAGGCTGCTGTGATGGGCACTAATAGGCTGCATTGATAGGTGCCGATAGGTGGCATTGACAGGCATCACTGATGGGCACTGAAAGGCAGCAATCATATGGCACTGATATGCACAGAAAGGCGGCACTGATAGGCAGCTCAGATAGGCACTGATGTGCACTGGTAGGCGTTGACAGGTGGCATTGATGGGGCTACACTGATCATCAGGGCACACTGATTATCAGTGCCCTGATGATCAGTGTACATGTCCCCTCTGAATAATGCTGATTACCGGCTCTCCTCTCCTCATGAGCTGTCAGTGTGACAGCTCATGAGGAGAGGAATGCTGATAACCGGCATTTCCTTATTTACATGTGATCAGCTGTGATTGGACACAGCTGATCACATGACAGAGCTGACATCATCGGCTCTTTCCGGTGATCCGCTGTGTCCCAGGGACACAGCGCACCACCGATCGCTGCGAGGGCACGCACACGTGGTTAGAGTGAGAGGACATCATATGACGTCCTCCCAGAACGAGAGAACCACCTTGCACCCGTCATTACCTTATATGTTTTTTAAAATAATTAACCACTTGAAGACCCGGTAATGTGCATGTACATCACCGGGTCGAAGTGGTTATACTGAGAGGATGCCTGCAGCTACAGGCATTATTCAATTATTTTTTTTTTTAGCCAGCGATCTGTTTTCATGTAAAAGCAATCTTAGCGGGTAATTAGCCTCCGGGGACCAATCATTTCTATGGTATGGGAAACCGGAAGGAACTAGTATTTTGTCACTTCCAGGTTTTGGCCTTTTGTTTACAAGCCATTACTGGCTTGTACAAGCATTGGATCAGTCAGAACTTGGTCTGATCTGAGGCTTTTAAGGGCAGAGGAGACATCTGGGATCTAACAGACCCCAAGGAGTTTATTTACTAAAGCTGGAGAGTCCAAAATCAGACTCCCTTCTGCATAGAAACCAATCAGCTTCCAGGTTTCATTGCCAAAGCTTCATTGAACAAGCTGAGGTTAGAAGCTGATTGGTTTCTATGCAGAAGGGAGTCTGATTTTGGACTCTCCAGCTTTAGTAAATAAACCCCCAAATGTCTCAGAAAAAAAGCACCTGTCACTACTTAGTGCTATCACAAGGGATGTTTACACATTTCTTGTGATAGCAATAAAAGTGATAAAAAAAAAATTAAACCGACAGTGTAAAAATTAATAAAAAATAAATAAATAAAATAATGAAAAAAAAAAAATTCTTAACAAGCCCACATACCACCGTGCTTGCACACAAAGGCAAACACGCGTGCTAGTACATAAACAGTGATCGCACCACACATGTGAAGTATCATTGTGAATGTCAGAGCAAAAGCAATAATTCTAGCACCAGGCCTCGTTTAACCCTTTGAGGACCGTAAGATTTTGGAACGCCAAAAGAATCAATTTTTTTGTTTTTAAAGTTCGTACACTTCAGTTGCTGTAACTAAGCCATTTCATGAAATAATTGGCAAAAAGCTAGATCCATTTGTTGTTTATTGATAAGAACTAAAATTTTGACTCAAACCAAAAAAAAAAAAAAAAAAGGTTTAAAGTTCTTAATCAGATGATACACACAATTAAAAACATGGGACAAATACGTCCCTTGGTCCTCAAAGGGTTAAAAGGCTTTACTGGTTACCAGTTTAAACTTAATGTACTGTAGTTTGATGCCATTCCATAAGTGTGCACAGTTTTAAAGTGTGACATGTTAGGTATCCATTTACTCGGTGTGATATCTTTATATTTTACCAAAAACTGGGGACGGACGGATGCACGCACGCACGCACGCACGCACGCACACACCTTGGGAGTTCTAAGTACTTTTCTAGCAAAGAAAAAAAAAATACTATTTTTTAAATGTAAACAGTATCAGAACAGGCCTGGTCTTCAAGATCTTAATACATGCCAAAGGATTGCCAAATAATGAATGGAAATTAAAGAAAAAAAAATTCATAATTGACTTCCTTCAGACTCACTGAAACAGAGACTGCTCTGATTGAGAAGTCACCCATTCCCTTGTATGTGTTTATTTCAGCTTGAGCTAATGAGCTCTGTAAAATGGCTCTTTTATAAGGAGTTGCAGGAAATATGTGAAAAGGTTCCTAAAGCTTCACCTGCTGAATAGAAAACGTCATAATAATCACATGCAACATTTCATATTTACATGTAACTGAAATTTGTCCTAACCATACTAAAAGAAAACTAAATTACAAAACCAACAATACAGTTCGTTTAAGAAGAAACATTCTGACCACCACTTGCCTACATACTTTAGGTGCTCTGCTTACCTCTTGCGGGTATTTCTGTGTAAACAAGACAGGAAACTTCAAATCACGGATGTCTGTTAATATCTATCAACAGAAGAAAAAAAAAAACACTTTAGACTGATCTTTCCTGGTAAATGCTAACAAAGTATGCTTCTTGTAATTTCCTTGTCCATTAAAGAGGAAGTAAAGTCAAAACCTAACGCCAAACCTACTCTCAGTTACATTTGAAGCCTAATCTATCTAGCCCTTTAAAGCAGAATCGGCTGTCTTCAGTGTGTGCGAGTGTGAAGAAGAGGCAGCCGACAACATAAACCCCATAGTAACTCTATGGGTAATGGCACTTCCCAGGCATTTCACAGTTGATATTGGTATTCTCCTGAACACAGCAGCCGCCGCTGGATGGAAGGGAATGGATGCAGAACAGGCAAGTATAGTGATTTTTGCAAACAGTAGTCTACTGTTGTGCTAACCAAGCTGTGCCATATAAAGAATTTACAGGAGATAAAGGAAGGGACGAGGTACAGAAAGGAAGGACGAGGAAGGAAGGAAGGGACGAGGTAAGAAAGGGTAGGAAGGAAGGAAGGAAGGAAGGAAGGAAGGAAGGACGAAGGTACGAGGTACAGAAAGGAAGGAAGGAAGGAGGAAGGGAAGGGACGAGGTACAGAAAGGAAGGAAGGAAGGAAGGAAGGAAGGGACGAGGTACAGAAAGGAAGGAAGGAAAGAAGGTACAGAAAGGAAGGAAGGAAGGAAGGGACGAGGTACAGAAAGGAAGGAAGGAAGGAAGGGACGAGGTACAGAAAGGAAGGAAGGAAGGAAGGAAGGACGAGGTACAGAAAGGAAGGAAGGAAGGAAGGAAGGGACGAGGTACAGAAAGGAAGAAGGAAGGAAGGAAGGGACGAGGTACAGAAAGGAAGGAAGGAAGGAAGGAAGGGACGAGGTACAGAAAGGAAGGGAGGAAGGAAGGGACGAGGTACAGAAAGGAAGGAAGGAAGGAAGGAAGGGACGAGGTACAGAAAAGGAAGGAGGAAGGAAGGGACGAGGTACAGAAAGGAAGGGAGGAAGGAAGGAAGGAAGGGACGAGGTACAGAAAGGAAGGAAGGGAGAGAAGGTAAGAAAGGAAGGAAGGAAGGAAGGAAGGGACGAGGTACAGAAAGGAAGGAAGGAAGGAAGGAAGGAAGGGAGAGGTACAGAAAGGAAGGAAGGAAGGAAGGAAAGGAAGGAAGGAAGGAAGGGACGAGGTACAGAAAGGAAGGAAGGAAGGAAGGAAGGGACGAGGTACAGAAAGGAAGGAAGGAAGGAAGGAAGGGACGAGGTACAGAAAGGAAGGAAGGAAGGAAGGAAGAAGGACGAGGTACAGAAAAGGAAGGAAGGAAGGGACGAGGGAAAGGAAGGAAGGAAGGACGAGGTACAGAAAGGAAGGAAGGAAGGAAGGGAAGGGACGAGGTACAGAAAGGAAGGGAGGAAGGAAGGGACGAGGTACAGAAAGGAAGGAAGGAAGGAAGGGACGAGGTACAGAAAGAAAGGAAGGGAGGAAGGAAGGGACGAGGTACAGAAAGAAAGGAAGGAAGGAAGGAAGGGACGAGGTACAGAAAGGAAGGAAGGGAGGAAGAAGGGACGAGGTACAGAAAGGAAGAAGGAAGGAAGGAAGGGACGAGGTACAGAAAAAGGAAGGGAAGGAAGGAAGGGACGAGGTACAGAAAGGAAGGAAGGAAGGAAGGGACGAGGTACAGAAAGGAAGGAAGGAAGGAAGGAAGGGACGAGGTACAGAAAGGAAGGAAGGAAGGAAGGAAGGGACGAAAGGTAAGAAAGGAAGGAAGGAAGAAAGGAAGGAAGGGACGAGGTACAGAAAGGAAGGAAGGAAGGGACGAGGTACAGAAAGGAAGGAAGGAAGGAAGGGACGAGGTACAGAAAGGAAGGAAGGAAGGAAGGAAGGGACGAGGTACAGAAAGGAAAGGAAGGAAGGAAGGTACAGAAAGGAAGGAAGGAAGGGACGAGGTACAGAAAGGAGGGAAGGAAGGAAGGGACGAGGTACAGAAAGGAAGGAGGAAGGGAAGGAAGGAAGGAAGGGACGAGGTACAGAAAAGGAAGGAAGGAGGAAGGACGAGGACAGGAAGGGGTACAGAAAAGGAAGGACGAGGTACAGAAAGGAAGGAAGGGAAGGAGGGAGGTACAGAAAGAAGAAGGAAGGAAGGGAGAGGTACAGAAAGGAAGGAAGAAAAGGACAGAAAGGAAGGAAGGAAGGAAGGGACGAGGTACAGAAAGGAAGGAAGGAAGGGACGAGGTACAGAAAGGAGGAAAGGAAGGGACGAGGTACAGAAAGGAAGGGAGGAAGGGGACGAGGTACAGAAAGGAAGGGAGGAAGGGACGAGGTACAGAAAGGAAGGAAGGGACGAGGTACAGAAAGGAAGGAAGGAAGGGACGAGGTACAGAAAGGAAAGGAAGGAAGGTACAGAAGGGACGAGGTAAGGAAGGGACGAGGTACAGAAAGGAAGGAAGGAAGGGGCGAGGTACAGAAAGGAAGGAAGGACAGAAGGGGCGAGGTACAGAAAAAGGAAGGGAGGAAGGGACGAGGTACAGAAAGAGGTACAGAAAGGAAGGAAGGAAGGAAGGACGAGGAAGTACAGGAAAGGGACGAGGTACAGAAAGGAAGGAAGGAAGGGACGAGGTAAAGGAAGGAAGGAAAGGAAGGAAGGAAGGAAGGAAGGGACGAGGTACAGAAAGGAAGGAAGGAAGGAAGGAAGGAGTACAGAAAGGAAGGAGGAAGAAGGAAGGGACGAGGTACAGAAAGGAAGGAAAGGAAGGGACGAGGTACAGAAAGGAAGGGAAGGAAAGGAAGGGAGAAAGGAAGGGAAGGGACGAGGTACAGAAAGAAAGGAAGGGAAGGAAAGGAAGGAGGAAGGGAAGGTACAGGAAGGAGGAAGGGACGAGGTACAGAAAGGAAGGGAGGAAGGAAAGGGGACGAGGTACAGAAAGGAAGGGAGGAAGGGGCGAGGTACAGAAAGGAAGGGAGGAGGTACAGAAAGGAAGGGAGGAGGTACAGAAAGGAAGGGAGGAGTTACAGAAAGGAAGGGATCAGGTCAGCGGTTATCAAGATGGGCAAGGCTTACTCATTTTATGGTTGAGCTTTACCAGAACAGTTGGATGTGGATTAATCAGGTTTACACACGTCTAAACCTAGCCTAAAAGTCCTGACACTCCTCTAAAAGGTGATCTGAACATTATGCGACACCTGTTCAGTGCCTGTTTTAATCCCATTTTTGTTGAACAAACATGCCACAAGTGCGTGCACTGCTTGCCACCCACAACATGTCGATCAGTTTTTTGCCGCAGGCACAAAGCATCGCAATCACAGCATGTGAACACCCCCATTCTCTGCCATCACAGCTTAAGGGGTGGTGGGGTGCTAAAAAATGCTACCCAATTGCACGTTTTCAATGACCCCATCCGCATGCAAAACACCCTAAAATCTTTAAAAGAGAAATGAATGTTCTTTACAAAACTAGTGCAGGGTGATCAGTGAATTTTCCATTCCTTCCTGTGATGGGCCCAGTGACAGGGGACAGTTTTTCTTCATACTCTCTGGTAGGCATTCGTATAAAGTGGTTGTCTGCGTGCAGCTGCAGGAGAGGAATTCATTTCATGTGCCTTACCATGATGCCCACTTGAGTAGTGCCCAACACTAAAACAATATTAACTGTAATCGGTGCAGCCCAATAGCACCCAAGGCCACAGCCCTTATGGCTTAATACCAAATTTGTCCCTAGTTATGTACTCCAGCTAACCATGTGCCTACTGTGTGACATTATGGCAACTGGGGTATTCAGCTTTAAAAGCCACTTGGTTGAATGCTGACTTTTTACCTCACTATTCTAATAAATAATATTATTATTATTATTACTACTACATTTTCTCAAAGTCTACAGCTTGATTACAACGATATTCTGTTGTACATACAGCAAATACTCTGCTTTGTTGGAGACGCAGGAAAGCACTCTGATTCTTTTTAACTGCATCGCACATTAATTAATAAAGCTATGGATTACATTTTATATATCACCAGTAAGCAGGGGCGGACTGGCCATTTGGAAACTCGGGCACTGCCCAAGGGCCCGGGGTCAGCAGGGGGCCCCATGAGATGCCCCTGGTACCTTTTTCATAGCTTTTTTTGAGTTTGGGCAAGGACACAGGGGCCCCATGATCCCCTATTGCCCGGGGGCCCCATGAGTTGTCAGTCCGCCCCTGCCAGTAATTAGCTTTCCCAGCAAATGTAGAAACCTACAGAGGATAAAACATTACATTACAGTCAAAATAGAAGTAACACTAAAGGGCAGATTCATAAAGATCACCAGAGTTAGTGGTCACTTCCTAACAAAGCCACTTCTCTAGTTTCCCAGATGTGCGATTTAACCACCTGATGGCCAGCGACATACCAGTACGTCTCTGGACTTAGAGTGATTATACTAGGGTGATGCCCCCAGGCATCATCCCGGTACTTTTTAAAGCCAGTGGTCAACTTTCTTGCAAAAGCAATTCTAGTTGCTAAATACCTGCTGAACTGCTTTTACAAGCAGCAGGAAGGGACATGTCTCGCTCTCTCCAACCAGTAGACTGCAGAGTCTAGCTGGTGCTTCTGCCAGCTGACCAAAGAGCTGATCAGACACTGGAACGGCTCCAGTCATCTTTATGGTCTCAGAAACGGGAAGCGACGAACATTCATCACTTCCGGTTTTGCCAGCTGTAAACAGCGACATTTTTAAATTGGGAAAGCATCTGACCACACCGATCTTTGTGTGATCAGATGCTGTGAAAGACACATGAGAGATCAGGGGTCTAAAAGACCCCATATTTCTCAGTAAAGAGTATCTGTCACTGCCTATTGTTATCACAGGGGATAATTAGAATAGTTATATTTTTTTATTATTTATATAAGTAAACAGCAAATCGTACCACACATTTGAGGTATCAACACGAACATCAGATCGTGTTGTATTTCTAGCACCAAACCTCCTGTGTAAATCTAAAGTGGTAAACTTTAAAGGTTTTAAAAGCATCTCCAACAGATAATAAAACTGACGTAGTTTGGCCATATTGCACGGGCGTGCGCAATGTTAAAACATCACGTTTGGAATCTTTTTACGTAGTGTAACATCATCATTTATTTGCAACCAAACAATTGGGTATTGGGTTTTTGTGCATCAAAAAAAAAAAAAAAAAAAATTTAAATTGCATTTGAAAAACTGCTGCACAAATACCGTATGACATAAAAAACTGCAACACTCACCATTTTGCTTTAAAAAATATATAATGTTTGTAAGTTTCTAAGTAATTTTCTGGCAAAAAAAATGATGATTTTGTTTACGTGTCAAAAAAGGCAGCGTCTTCAAGTGGTTATGGTGTTGTAAATTTTCAACAGAAACCTTAAGGCCTCATTCACACCGTACATGCAGAAAAAACTGATGTGCAGATTCCACTTGCACAGACATCAGTTTTCATGCGCGCTTCAATGTGTTTTACACACATTGCAGATTCCTGCACAGAAAAAAAATCTGCACATGACACTAGTGGTGTGACTAGGGCACAATTAGGCTTTTTTTGCACGCATTCTGCAAGAGCACAACAAAATCGACGTCTCTGCACCATGGTGTGAATGAGCCCTAAAAATTATAAGGAAGAAGTATACTGGCAAAACCTATCTTGCAGGATTTTTTTCACCTATTTCAAAACAAGGTGGAAATGAGCAGAAACTACTGCTCTGAGCAACTGTATCAACTGTATAAATAATCGAAGAATTGAGATTTCCCACAAAAACCCGTCCCCCCACAAAAAAAAAAAAAAAAAAAGGCAAAGTATCAATTTCCTCTATTTTTACGGAATGAGCAAAATGATATCTAGAATATGATGAGCATCACTACCTTTTTTTTATTATTATTATTATTATTATTATTATTATTATTAAAAGGAAACATTTACTTTTGCAAAAGGTGACTGTTACACAATCTTTGTGGTAAGACAAATATAATAACACGTCTGTGTGTGTGTACATGTGTGGGGCTCGTGAATGCGGATCATTAGCACAGATCTGTGCTCCATGAAAGGAAACATCACCATCTAGAGGAAAAAGACTCAGCATCGCTTTAGATTTTAAGAAATCATGTGCAAGGCGAGATTACAAATCTACTTTTTGCTTAGAAGCAAAAGTATGGTAGAAAGACAGGACACAAATTTACATTCTTATGCCATACAGAAAGAAGGATCCCCAGGGATATTACTGTATGTGGATGCATGCAGGTTGTAAATCAATTCTAGACATTGCCATCTATCCATGCTTGGCAAACAGCTATGTGATAAGGAAAAAAAAAAAAAAAAAAAAAGGAAGAACAACCTCTGCTTAAGTTTTTGAAAGTTTATTTAAACGAAGAGCTACAAAAGAAAAGATTAGTATGGCCATGGAGGTGAGAAAGAATTGACTGTGCCAAAATCTAGTGTTTTCAGAAACGCAGGCTTTTAAGAAAGCTGCCATGTAGGACGTCCCTAAAGCTCCATTCACACTTTGTGGTTTGGAATCACATGCGGAATCACAATTCTGCCTGAGATTCCAAATCGCTTGGCAATCACAGCACAACGAGCAGCTCATGTTTAGGTGCCATTATCCTTCACTGGCACCCCAAACGCAATGTGATTCTGCTACGATTGTTGCACAACAGGATCACGTGGCAAATGTGGCTTTAAAAAAAAGAAAGCCTGAAACCGCATTGCGCATTACGTCACCAGTCCAGGCTGTCAGTCAGGAGCCGCAGGGGATTTGCCCGCCATAAGTAGCCGAGGAGCCTCTGCTTGATTAATCGACCCCTAGAGAAGGAGATCTATGGATGGGGAAAGTGGATCAGTGGATATCAGTAGATGCTGAGAGGATCGGAGGATTTGATCCCACTTTACGCTTTGACCTTCACGGGTCGAAGCCTGGAGGTGAGAGGCTAATCTAGCCGTGTGTTGGAGTTTCTGCACCTGGAGTCACTTTATGATCACGTGTGCTTTCAATTGCAGTAGTGGTGTCACCCCACCCATTGGACATTTTTCTACACATTTTATTTATTTTTGTTTGCGCCTTAGTGTGACATTTTTGCATTTTTTGCACTATATTTGCAATTATTTACTTTCAAACTGTTTTCATGTGTAAGAATTTTTCACAAGATTGCTAATACACTGCGTTTATACACTATGTTTTATTATGGTATTAGCTTTAAGATATATTTTGTGATCACTATGACCACTTGATTATTATATTTATATTCATCTCACGGGGTGCATTGTATGTGTTATATATGTTTAGAGGTTTTTTGAGTAGCATTTTTTTTACTTTAAGCTTTATGAGTAGCGCCACATTTTTTGACTTTTTTTATTTGTTGCAAAAAGAACCTCCTGCTAGTTTTTGAGTGACAAGCTTCACATGATACAGTATGATTTATCACTACAGAATCACACTTGCATTTAGGTGCTATGAAAAATGAATGGCACCTGAACAAGCATGGTGCAATTTTTGAGTTTTGCAAAGCGTTTTGGAATCGCATGCAGAATTGCGCTGATTCTACCCGCGATACTAACAGCCTAGATGTGAATGGGCCTCTCTAAGAATTTGCGCAAGTCTCATATATAACATTTATGCTCCATACAGAGCTGTCTTTTTCCAATTCAGAGATGCAGTGTTGTGTGCATCCCTGTTCCAGTGTCCCACTGCTGTCTACTGGGACACTCCCGCTGTGTCCCAATATGACATGCAGATGCAGGTCCCTGAATTCACCCTGTGTGCATTCAGGGACTCGCAGCTGCATGTGATATCAGACCGCCATGTCCCAAAACAAAACAATGGGACACCAGCAAAGGGATGCACACATTTGTGCATTCCCATGCCAGGAAAAGACAGCGCTGCATGTGGCACGTATGTCATCACCCCATGTGAATGGGGCCTTATGAGAGACATTAATGTCTGTTATTTTTGAACACATCATTTTGACCGAGAGCACTGCAGAGTGTTATACAGACTGTGTAAGACCTTTCAAGGATATTCTAACACATTGCAGAGACTGTTCTAGTACGATTTCTGCAATATCACCCAAGTAAGCAAACCTGTTTTATAAAAGGACCCAACATTAGCATATAAGCACTTTGTTATTTAATCACTAGTAAAACGTAATAATCATTTTTCCTTATCATATGGAAACTGTAAATAAATTCTTTCTAGTTTTTAAAGTGTCGAGGAAGAAATCTGAGTAATCACCTGTCAAGGAAATAGGAAGCTCAGGAAATATCCACAACATGATACAGTCAATAAAAACCTGAAGAGGGAATCTATAAAGTGCTGGCCACTATCACTGGAAATCCCCCCACTATATACAAAATGAGTTACACTATGATTCAAAGAAAAAAAATGTTCTCTATTAAAAGGATAAGTTCACCTTTCATAATATGTTAACACCATATTCAGGGCATAACATGTTATAAAATGACCACCCATTGAACCCCCCAATCCCCTGTTTTGACAGCTAGCGGGGGATCTTCTCCCCTCCGCTAGCTGTCAAAGTTTAAAAAAAAAAAAAAACCCAGCCGTGTCAGACTCTACCCGCACCACTCATTCCCATTTCTGTGAATGAGAAACTACAAGTCCTGACAGCTTTTGCGAAGTACGGGCATACGAGCAAACAGATACACCCGAGAGGTCTGCAGGAGACATGCATGGCATCAGTGAACTGCTAATCGCTGGCGCAATGCTTTACAGGTTCCTACAACAAATAAATGCACTTTTTTTTTTTTTACACATGCACAAAAAAAAAAATGTGTATTTATTATGTTTTTTTCAAAAGTGAACTCTTGGAAAAGTAAAAATGTATCATCTTTGCAGTGGGGATGTTCTCTACATTGTGAGTGATAAAATGTTCATTTATGCCTAGGGGACCAGGTTAAGCAGTTTTACTAACTGGATCCTCTGCTCCTGCAGGCTCCTCCACACAGCAAGACTGGTCCATGCAGCCTCTTATTCCCTGAACTCCAGCAACTGGATGCCCTCTGACTTCACCTTGACTATGCAGGGCCCACAGAACTGCACTGGAGGCTAGGAACAGTCCACCAATGAAAAATAGGGGCGCAAGAAAAAGTAAAACTGCTTTCCCAGTCTTCTAGACCAGGGGTCTCCAAACTATGGCCCTCCAGGTGTTGAGGAACTGCAAGTCCCATGAGATCTTGAAAGAGCTCTGACAGCCACAGGCAAGACTCCCAGAGGCATGATGGGAGTTGTAGTAATTCAACAGCTGGAGGGCCATATTTTGGAGACCCCTGTAAGACAGAAATGAGCATTTAACCCTTGCAGTGTGGGCGTAGCACCACTGCAAGGGAGGATTTTTTATTTTCCTTGTGTTGTGTTTTAAGTCACATTCCTTTCATTTTCATGTGATTTTGGCCCTGGCCAATAGCAAAAGGAGGAAATCTCCCGAATTGAGTCCTTAGGATATGCAAATGCATGCTCACTATGATTCAACTCACCAGCTGCTACTAGAAATAAAACTGCTGAGAGTAGACTGGACATTTATCAATAGCTCAGAAAGTTGGTAACCCTGGAACAATCCAGTATACATTTAATGCATCATCAGGTACTTACTTGTACTCTCTCCATACTGGTACTGAACGGATATAGCAGCTCAAATAAAATCAAGCCCAGAGAGAAGATGTCCACTTTGTGGGAGTAACTTTGGCCATATATCTACAAAGAAACAGAGGAGGACATGTATCAGTTCTGTTTAACAGCAACGCAACATTACAGAAGAAAGCTTATGAGAAATGCATTATAATACTGCAGCTCAATTCATAAATTCCTCCCTCTGCTATTTCTAATGTAGCACTGCGACAGAATAAAAACCTTGTCTTGACTACGGTTTTGGTTGAAATTCTCCCACATCTTCATAAACATCTATCTCCTCCCCTATGGTGTGCAAAACGGTCTCAGTTGGTTGCCCAGGATTGAAAGCACAGAGGTTGAAAAATACACAAAAACAAAAACTGCGCTAAAGGAAAGTAAGTATGATTTGTGACTAATTTTGTTGCTAATGTGCTTTATAAATGTCACTGAGACTTTATATCAAAATGCCAACACTAAAGCAAATTTCAGAAAAGAATATCCAGGAACTTTCCATTTTGGGGCAGCACAGTGGCTCAGTGTTTAGCATTCCTCCTTAAAAGCACTGGAGTCCTCAGTTCAAATCCCAACCAGGAAACTACCTGCATGGAGTTTACATTCTCCCTGTGCTTGCTTTGGTTTCCCGTTTTCTTCCCAAATTCCAAAGATATATTGGTAAAGTTAGTTGGCTCCTAGTGTGTGTGTGTGTGAGTATGAATGCATGTGAGATTGGGACCGCAGATTTTAAGATCATAAGGGCAGGGGCTGCTGTGAATGCACAATATGTAAAAGACTGTAATAAATATCTAATCTGTAATAAATACAATAATTAATAGAGAAGTGGGCTGTTCAGGGAGTTCTAGGTCTCAGCTCATTATAGTGATTGTAAACCTCTGAAATTAAAAATGAAGCATACCCCTCTATAGTGTGTATCTGCCTCATTTCACAGCACTTCATGTGATTTCAAACTACTATCTTGTCTCTCTGCATGAGTAACTTTTAGCAAGTTATGCCAAACCCACAAAATCCTGGGGGATGACTCCATCCCCTTTTGAGCACACAGAGGGCGACAGACGACCCGAGGTAGGTGTGTGTGTGTCTCTGGGGTTGTTTCTTTTCCCTCCACTTAGGTCTGCTATTACACTCCGCTCCCCGCTGGGTAGTGTGTGAGGTCAGATTCCCTACCCTGCTTGTTACAGCTTGGAACTGCTGTGTAAAATGAGTGTTTTCAGAAGCGGTAAAGGCAAAGAGGGATGCAGATTAAAAAAAAAAAAAAAAAAAAAAAAAAAAAAAAAAAAAAAAAAAAAAAGGTACAACTCATGTAGGAGGATTTGTTTAATCTCTGTATCAGCTGAAGTCAATCACTTCACTGGGTGTATGTAAAGCCTAGTACACAAAATAAGAAAATCGGGCGGAAAATACCACTTTCGGAGCGATCGTCCGATATTTTGATCGTTATTACACAGCTTTCGAGACAATGAAGGCAGTTTATGTGAAATTATCCAAAAGGACAAACATGAACATTTTTCTCGTACAATAACAGAACAAATGATTTTCGTTTAATCAGCACAATATTCGTCTGTAAAAAATGAGCGAGTAAGACCATGCATGCTCAGAAACAAAAGAATAAATTACATTACATCATCGTGGGAAGTTTTTATTCTATCTTACGAATTTCGTAACCCATTAGTTTCTGAAATGCAAAAAAAAAAAAATAAAATGATATTCATTCAATATTCTCATTGTGTGTACAAGGCTCACAACCACTTTAAAAAAGGGAATGCTGAAGGCTGTGACCTTACTGGATACCCATCTGTGTGGAGATGAACTAGCTGCTGATAGGCTTTACCATAGATACCTATTCAGTGCCACAAACATTTATAGCAGCAGCACTCAGTGCATCCCACCACAGCTAACAATCTCTTGGTGACTCTCTGCATTCACTCAAAATAAAGAGCAACACAATTTCTCATACTTGTTCTGGGCTCATGTAGAGTTTGGTCCCAACTTGCCCCGTATGTCGAGCATATGCCGGCATTGGTGTCAAAGCGGTTTCCTCATCATCTTCCTGGTCCATTTCAGTTACTAGCCCAAAGTCTCCAACTTTAACTACATCGTCTATTGTAAAGAATATATTGGAAGGCTATAAATCACAAAAGAGAAAGACAAAAACTTTACTCAACATGCATAGGAGAGTCTTCTGCCCCAAATACATTTTCCCTGTGACAGCACAGCTTCACAAGAACTACAAGCTAGAGGTGACTATAGCCGGATTAGTACATTTGCAATTAAACTATTGAATACGGTCTGTGATACGTTATTTGCACAAATGTTTAAAATTTTCAGAATAAGCTTTCTTGCGGTTTCCTTCTTCTCAGTCAAGCAGTAGAAATATGAGTGCAGATTGCACAAGTATCATGGAGAACGCAGTTTTTGATGCAAGAACTACAATGAAGATACCCGGGAACTTGACAAATCTAGGGCCTATCCTTTATATATAAAAAAAAAAAAAAAAAAAAAAAAACAAAAAAACCCTGTGATGTGAATTTTTTTAAAAAATGACATATTGTGGAATTCTTTAAGTCCCCTTTCATGTGGGGTGCTCAGTTCTGTTTCAGAGAGGGGGTGAGGGGTTGTGGAGATCACATTTTTATCCAGTTCTGAATTCTAAATATGTTTCTTTCACACACGGTTCAGAAACACAATCTGTAACTCCGTGACATTAAACTCCTGTGATGGCCTGGACATATGTGCTAACAGTAGGAGAGAGCAGGGTAATGATTTTATCAGTGAGCAGTTTCTCCCTCACTGCCCAACCCCAGGCTTGGGCACATCTCATCTGTACTTTAGCTTTAAAGTGCAACTTTACTTTCATCCCTTTTTACCCTATAAACATCACACAGCAAAACAGCCTGCCAATCGCGACCCATTCAAGTAAATGGGGCCACTCTGCAAGAGCCCCGCCACTTCTGCAGGGTGTACGCTTCTGCGGGGGTCCAAGCGGTTAAAGCAGGTGGTCAGAAAGCAACATAATGCTGCCTGCTTTAACCCCTTGTTTGCTGTACTGGACAAGGTTGCAGGGCACTTGCAGAGCGGCCTCATTCACTTGCATGGGTCATGCTTGGCAGACTCTATACCCATCAACCATGACAAGGCGCATAACTCCTGCTGCGGCTGTGACATGTGTACACCCCTGGCCACTGTAACTAAAGTGGGTGCAGTTGGGGTAGGGGTGATAAAAATATGTATTAACCATGGGGTTTAACCCCTCAAAGTGCAAATGTAAATGAACCCTTACTGTTCTGAGCCCCCTATAAGGCTGCTGTCACACTGGTGTGCTGCGGTCTACCTGCACCGTGGGTGCAGCGCATTGCATCTGCGACTTTCCTGGGTTGACTGCACTTTGCCATAGACTTCTATTATATCCTGCAGGTGTGGGGCACTTTCTGAAAGCGAACCAAAACCGCAGGATATAAGAGAAGTCTATGGCTAAGTGGGCAAACCCACAGGAAAGCTGCACCTGTGGTGTGGGTAAATCACAGTGCATCAGTGTGAAATGGGCCCTATACTATTATGCCCAGTGTATTACTTCACACTGACCTGAAGATCTTTTTCCTTTCCTAGTGGAGACCGCTAGCCAGTCGGTATCACTCTGCATGGGAAAGGAGCCGCACTACAGAGGAGGTATTATCTTATGCAACTCCTGCTCCCTACTACAGTTCCAACGTTACAAGTAGTCCCTCTACATTGCACTGTTTGATGCCCTAACCATGATCTACCAGTCACCTGGCCGCGATCTACTGGTAGACTGATCTACGGGTTGCTGATCCCCACTCTAAAATATAATAACAGGGAGAATGCATCACCAAGAAAAAGTCCCTTCACCGCTGGCTCCTACCTTCCACCACAGCTACAGAGTGAGATCTGTTCGCGTAAAGTGAAAGGAGTTATCATACGAATTGAAGCACGTCAAAACTATACTGAATGGTTATATTAGTTTACAATAATTAATAGGAGAAAAGCACATGAATTTTTCATGCATGAGGTCAGGACAATAGCACAAGTACTCACCTTCAGGTCCCTGTGCATCAGCCCCTTGCTGTGTAGGAACTGAACGGCTTCTGCAATCTGCACAAAAATATGGAGGCATTCAGCTGGTGGACGCTCCTCCAAGGTGCAGCGTGCCTCCATCCAGTCTTTGAGGTTCTCCTTGCGGCACAGCTGCATCTGAATGTAGAGGTACACCTTGGGAGAGCCGGGGTTCAGCTTCTCTGCAGTGTTTTTTGTGAGGTCCAAGTTCAAGGTTTTTGGTCGGGGAGGAGATGTAGACAAAGTGCTTGGGAAAGTGTGTTTACTTTCAGTGGAGTCCTTCATTTCAGAGTCTCTGTGTGAAAAATCACTGTTTGTAACAACAACAGACACGTTTGTTCTATTGTCCCCATTATTAGAGGCGTTATCACAGCCAGAGTCTTCAAACACAATAGAGGATGAGGTCCTCTCATGGAAGCCAATCTCCTGCCTTCTCCGAGGGCCACATCCACAGACAACCTCAGCATCCTCATCATCGTCCATTGCACTGTGATCCAGGTCACAGTCTGTAAGGAAACTGTCCTGCAGATTCACCATGGCATCAAATGACTCGCTGAGGTCACTGTCTGTAGTGAAATGGAGAGGAAACGAGAGTCTCCGATGTGCACCTGCATTAACGGCAACAAACTCAGTGGACAGAGAGCTTGGGCTCTCTGATGAAGGGGTGATCACCTCTATGTGCTCCTTCATGGAATGGAGATCACTACTCCGAATCTTAATAGAAAGCCCATCTACTGGAGTGGGGGAGCTGAATGGCCAGTCCGTGCTAGATAAAAAGAGATAGACATTAGTCACTGAATAAATAAATAGGACAGAAGTGATATTTACTTCCCACTCCTACCATGCTACATCCTTACACTGGAATACTATCCCACTTTCCCCCTTCTCAGCACTACCATCATCATTAGTGTTCTGGGCTGACTGAAGCTCAGCATCATTCAATCCTTTTTTCTGAGCCCAGGCTGCCATAAACCTAGAGGAAGGAAGAGGGTGTCTATAATTAAGCAGACTTCCCACTTTAATCCCTTCATGCCTAAGGGTAAAACAAATCTAAATGCCCAAGCACAATTTTGCAACGTTGACATGTGTTAGTATAACTGTACATATCATCACAACTTTTCAGGACAAACTGAGCTTTCATTTGGTGGGAAATGGTAATGGATATCTCCTGATTTTTTTTTTACTATCAAAAGGGAAACTGGCACAAAAGAGTAAAAATAATCATTTGTTTTATTTAGCTGTGTGTTTCTTGTTACTACCATAACCTACCATCAAAGAACAACCCAAAATACATTTTGCAGCTCTTGACGATCGCAGCGATACCATATGTATATGTAATTTGTTGTTTGTACCCATAGTACAGCCCAGAAACAATAGTGTACATATTTTTTTTTTTTTTTTTACCTAAAACACACGGACACCAATTTTTTTTTCCTATATCCTGACCTTTGACCCTGACCTTGACCCAAATACTTACCCTGGCACTGAACTAGATCAAACCTTGATCTAGGTATTTTTTCCTTTAACCTTTTAACATTTATCCTTTTTTTTTCCCCCTCTATGCCAGGAGTTGGAGAGATACATTGCATCTCTCTCCTCCATTCACAGAGAGGAAAAAAAAACAAAAAAAAACAAAACAAGGGGGCCGGGCTGTACAGTGACTGATCACTGTGATAGCCAATCAGAGGATATCACAGCAACCATGTGACCCGGAATCAGGAGTCCCAGATCGTTAGAACGGGACCTGGGGCTCTCAGTGACACCACGGTTTTTGCGCTGGGAACGCGCTGTGCGGCACGCTCCCAGCAGAAAGAGTTACGCAAACATGCGGCCCCACGGGAAAAAAGCCCAGTTCTGTGAGGCCCCATATTTGTGTTACATTGGCGTCAAGGGGTTAAGCACTTAACTCCGGAAGGTTTTATCCCCTTCATGACAAGAGCATTTTTTGCTATTGAGCACTGTGCCATTTTAACTGGCAATTGCAGGGTCATGAAACACTGCACCCAAATGAAATGCATCTTTTTTCACACAAATCTAGCTCTCTTTTGGTGGTATTTTATATAAACAAAAAGACTAAAAAAATTTCAAAAACAAATATTTTTTTTTTTGGTTGTAAAAAAAATATATATATATATATATATATATTTATATATAGATTTATTTTTTTTAATTGGATATGTATTCTGCCACATGTCTTTGTTAAAAAAAACAAAAAAACAAGTAAGTGTATATTAATTTATGTGGAAATTATAGTCTACAAACTGGTAATGGCAGGACCTATAGTGTGTGATAGCGTGGCAGGCAATCTGGCACTAACAGACCCTCGCTGGGAGGTACACTAACTGACATCACTAGTGAAACGAATATGGTGTTCAGCTAGAATACTGTACTACTGACACTGGCAAGGAAAGGGTTAACATCAAGGGGCGATCAAGAGGTTAACTGTGTGCCTAACAAGTGTACTGCATGGTGATTTTCCTCCCTGAAGGCAGAGTTTAGGGAGAAAAGCAGCTAGATTGTTGTTTGTGTACAGAGTCCTGTGTGTTTGCAAACACAGGACTCTGTTCTGTGATTGGCTACAGCCAATCAGCTGGTATGCAGCCAAAATCATTGGCTGTAACCTGCTAATCGACTTTGGCCAAATCACGATAGATTGGCAAGGGGGATGCACGTGCACCCCAAACATGCACTTGCCGTCAGCTCAAAGATTTACTGTGAGCAGGTCGGCAAGTGGTTAAATGTTTTAAATTCCCATGGAAAAATCTCTTCATTGAAGACATCTACTTCCTGTTAACTTACCTATACTCTAGGACAGTGATGGCGAACCTGTGGCACGCGTGCCACAGCCGGCACGCCGAGCCTTATCTGTGGGCACGCCAGGAGAATCCAGCGGCGCGCTGTCTTCCCGGCTGTAGTGTGCGTGACAGCCGGGTCCCAAGTGCGCATGCACAAGAAGCAGTGCTCTTTGTGAATGGTAAGGCGGTACCTGGGACACATGACAGATCCCAGAAGCCGCCGGACCAATCACAAAGCGCAGCGCTTCTCGCGCATGCGCACTGGGCATCCGGCTGTCCGACGAGCGCCCACACTACAGAAGCCGGGAAGACAGCGCGCGGCTGGATAAAGGAACAGGTAAGATAAAAAAAAAAAACTCTGCGGAAGTAAGAGCGGGTACCTGTCAAATTCAGGTACCCGCTCCCCCTCCCTCCCCAAAGGTCAGCAGTCATCTCTGTACTGTCCGCAGTCTCTGGTCATCCCTGTGCTGTCCGCAGTCTCTGGTCATCCCCTGTACTGTCCGCAGTCTCTGGTCATCCCTGTACTGTGTCCGCAGTCTCTGGTCATCCCTGTACTGTGTCCGCAGTCTCTGGTCATCCCTGTACTGTGTCCGCAGTCTCTGGTCATCTCCTGTACTGTCTCCGCAGTCTCTGGTCATCTCCTGTACTGTGTCCGCAGTCTCTGGTCATCCCTGTACTGTCCGCAGTCACTGGTCATCCCTGTACTGTGTCCGCAGTCTCTGGTCATCTCCTGTACTGTGTCCGCAGTCTCTGGTCATCTCCTGTGCTGTGTCCGCAGTCTCTGGTCATCCCTGTACTGTCCGCAGTCTCTGGTCATCCCTGTACTGTCTGCAGTCTCTGGTCATCCCTGTACTGTCCGCAGTCACTGGTCATCCCTGTACTGTCCGCAGTCACTGGTCATCCCTGTACTGTGTCCGCAGTCTCTGGTCATCCCTGTGCTGTACTGTGTCCGCAGTCTCTGGTCATCCCTGTACTGTGTCCGCAGTCTCTGGTCATCCCTGTACTGTGTCCGCAGTCTCTGGTCATCCCTGTACTGTGTCCGCAGTCTCTGGTCATCCCTGTACTGTGTCCGCAGTCTCTGGTCATCCCTGTACTGTGTCCGCAGTCTCTGGTCATCCCTGTACTGTGTCCGCAGTCTCTGGTCATCCCTGTACTGTGTCCGCAGTCTCTGGTCATCCCTGTACTGTGTCCGCAGTCTCTGGTCATCTCCTGTACTGTGTCCGCAGTCTCTGGTCATCCCTGTACTGTGTCCGCAGTCTCTGGTCATCTCCTGTACTGTGTCCGCAGTCTTGTCATCTCCTGTACTGTGTCCGCAGTCTCTGGTCATCTCCTGTACTGTGTCCGCAGTCTCTGGTCATCTCCTGTACTGTGTCCGCAGTCTCTGGTCATCTCCTGTACTGTGTCCGCAGTCTCCTGTACTGTGTCCGCAGTCTCTGGTCATCTCCTGTACTGTCCGCAGTCTCTGGTCATCCCTGTACTGTCCGCAGTCTCTGGTCATCCCTGTACTGTGTCCGCAGTCTCTGGTCATCCCTGTACTGTGTCCGCAGTCTCTGGTCATCTCCTGTACTGGTCCGCAGTCTCTGGTCATCATCCTGTACTGTGTCCGCAGTCTCTGGTCATCTCCTGTACCGCAGTCTCTGGTCATCTCCTGTACTGTGTCCGCAGTCTCTGGTCATCCCTGTACTGTCCGCAGTCTCTGGTCATCTCCTGTACTGTGTCCGCAGTCTCTGGTCATCCCTGTACTGTGTCCGCAGTCTCTGGTCATCCCTGTACTGTCCGCAGTCTCTGGTCATCCCTGTACTGTGTCTGCAGTCTCTGGTCATCCCTGTACTGTCCGCAGTCTCTGGTCATCCCTGTACTGTCCGCAGTCTCTGGTCATCCCTGTACTGTCCGCAGTCTCTGGTCATCTCCTGTACTGTGTCCGCAGTCTCTGGTCATCCCTGTACTGTGTCCGCAGTCTCTGGTCAAATGTCCGCAGTCTCTGGTCATCCCTGTACTGTGTCCGCAGTCTCTGGTCATCCCTGTACTGTGTCCGCAGTCTCTGGTCATCCCTGTACTGTGTCCGCAGTCTCTGGTCATCCCTGTACTGTGTCCGCAGTCTCTGGTCATCCCTGTACTGTGTCCGCAGTCTCTGGTCATCCCTGTACTGTGTCCGCAGTCTCTGGTCATCCCTGTACTGTGTCCGCAGTCTCTGGTCATCCCTGTACTGTGTCCGCAGGTCTCTGGTCATCCCTGTACTGTGTCCGCAGTCTCTGGTCATCCCTGTACTGTGTCCGCAGTCTCTGGTCATCCCTGTACTGTGTCCGCAGTCTCTGGTCATCCCTGTACTGTGCGCAGTCTCTGGTCATCCTGTACTGTGTCAGTCTCTGGTCATCCCTGTACTGTGTCCGCAGTCTCTGGTCATCCCTGTACTGTGTCCGCAGTCTCTGGTCATCCCTGTACTGTCCGCAGTCTCTGGTCATCCCTGTACTGTGTCTGCAGTCTCTGGTCATCCCTGTACTGTCCGCAGTCTCTGGTCATCCCTGTACTGTCCGCAGTCTCTGGTCATCCCTGTACTGTCCGCAGTCTCTGGTCATCTCCTGTACTGTGTCCGCAGTCTCTGGTCATCCCTGTACTGTGTCCGCAGTCTCTGGTCATCTCCTGTACTGTGTCCGCAGTCTCTGGTCAACTGTCCGCAGTCTCTGGTCATCTCCTGTACTGTGTCCGCAGTCTCTGGTCATCACCTGTACTGTGTCCGCAGTCTCTGGTCATCTCCTGTACTGTGTCCGCAGTCTCTGGTCATCCCTGTACTGTCCGCAGTCTCTGGTCATCTCCTGTACTGTGTCCGCAGTCTCTGGTCATCCCTGTACTGTGTCCGCAGTCTCTGGTCATCCCTGTACTGTGTCCGCAGTCTCTGGTCATCCCTGTACTGTGTCCGCAGTCTCTGGTCATCCCTGTACTGTGTCCGCAGTCTCTGGTCATCCCTGTACTGTGTCCGCAGTCTCTGGTCATCCCTGTTGTACTGTGTCCGCAGTCTCTGGTCATCCCTGTACTGTGTCCGCAGTCTCTGGTCATCCCTGTACTGTGTCCGCAGTCTCTGGTCATCCACTGTACTGTGTCCGCAGTCTCTGGTCATCCCTGTACTGTGTCCGCAGTCTCTGGTCATCCCTGTACTGTGTCCGCAGTCTCTGGTCATCCCTGTACTGTGTCCGCAGTCTCTGGTCATCCCTGTACTGTGTCCGCAGTCTCTGGTCATCCCTGTACTGTGTCCGCAGTCTCTGGTCATCCCTGTACTGTGTGTCTCTGGTCATCCTGTACTGTGTCCGCAGTCTCTGGTCATCCCTGTACTGTCCGCAGTCTCTGGTCATCCCTGTACTGTGTCCGCAGTCTCTGGTCATCCCTGTACTGTGTCTGCAGTCTCTGGTCATCCCTGTACTGTCCGCAGTCTCTGGTCATCCCTGTACTGTCCGCAGTCTCTGGTCATCCCTGTACTGTCCGCAGTCTCTGGTCATCTCCTGTACTGTGTCCGCAGTCTCTGGTCATCCCTGTACTGTGTCCGCAGTCTCTGGTCATCCCTGTACTGTGTCCGCAGTCTCTGGTCAACTGTGTCCGCAGTCTCTGGTCATCCCTGTACTGTGTCCGCAGTCTCTGGTCATCCCTGTACTGTGTCCGCAGTCTCTGGTCATCCCTGTACTGTGTCCGCAGTCTCTGGTCATCCCTGTACTGTGTCCGCAGTCTCTGGTCATCCCTGTACTGTGTCCGCAGTCTCTGGTCATCCCTGTACTGTGTCCGCAGTCTCTGGTCATCCCTGTACTGTGTCCGCAGTCTCTGGTCATCCCTGTACTGTGTCCGCAGTCTCTGGTCATCCCTGTACTGTGTCCGCAGTCTCTGGTCATCCCCGTACTGTGTCCGCAGTCTCTGGTCATCCCTGTACTGTTAATTAGTTTGCACTACTGTACGAGTTGTTTTTTCTAAACCAAAAGCTCGATATTCAGGTTTCATTGCAGTGTTGGCACTTTGAAAGAAATAAGTTGGCTTTGGGTTGCAGTTTGGGCACTCGGTCAAAAAGGTTCGCCATCACTGCTCTAGGATCTTTTAGGCCTGTCTGTTTTCCAAGTCACTTGCATACAGCATATATTTCAGCTGTATGAAGAGCCCATTTTTGGCTCCTAAATGTACAGTGTTCTGATGTATTCAGGATCACATTTTTTTTGATTTTGAAACTTAAAGTGGTTTTAAACTCAAGACATTTTTTACTTTAATGCATTTCCTGCATTAAGATAAAAACTGTCCCTGTATTGTCTCCCTCATCCCCCTCGCCCTACTAAATACTTACCAGAGTCCTCACTTGATCCAGCATTGTGCCCATCTGTAGCAGCTCTCGCCTTTCTCCCTGCATTGACAGAGCAGGGAGGCATGGCTCCTGCAGCTGTCAATCAAATCCTGTGAGGAGGGAGCAGGATTGAGCAGGGAGTCAAACTGCACTGTGTGTGTCTATGGATGCTTACAGCCCGGCTCAGGAGCAAGCACACACACGTGTGTCCCCATCGCAAGCAGCAAGTTATGGTGGTGCACATGGAAGAGGAGGAGCCTGGAGCACTAGCAGGGAATGCCATAAGATGAGGTACAGGGTCACACAGAGAAGGTACGTATAACATGTTTGTTATTAAAAGAATATATTTTAGCCTTTACCAACCACTTTAACCAGGTTAAAAAGACCAGTATGCTACTATAGAAGTCATGGCCTGAAAAGTAAAGCATGATCTTCTCTGGAAAAACCATGGCTAAATAAACCTGTCATGAGAGAGATTAGGTTGCCACTGCTGATCTCTATCTGAAAATGCCAGCTTCCTGGCTGTTATGCTGACACCATGGATTCAATGCCGGTCACTGACGTTGAACAAGTATGACTAAAAAAATGCCACTGACAAGTGTCACAGAAGCATCAGCCCTTAGTAACATACTTGTTCTGGGTCAGCAAACCAAAAGTATTGAGGCAAGGTAAGCCAGGGAACTAGCTTTAGGAGAGATCAGGAAGGGAAGCTCCCATGTTCTTTTCATGACATTACATTAAAAAGAGTTGTATGGTGTTCTTCATAAAAACTTTATTCACTGCGCGAGCCCCAACCAAGAACATGCAGTTGGCATAGGGATGATCATCCGCAGGTGAATTTTCAATACAAAAGGGCACTGAATGGCTATGGGGACACAGTTAGCTCTGTACAGGGCTTTCTGTTTGCATGAGCCCCACTGCAATTGTAGTCAACTCCTTATCGCAAGTGTGAATAGGGCCCCAGCCCCCAAAATATGAAACAGTCCGTAAGAGCAAAAAAAATATCAAACAATTTTTTAAAAAGTCCACACCTTCCATCCTTCAGCCACAGTTGATCCATTTTTTCTTGCCACAACTCCGGGGGCTCTTCTTTCCATGCATTAAAGTATCGCACAATCCCAGGATGCTCCAGCTTGGCGAGAGCCTTTACCTCCCTCATCACCTTCTCTCTAGCCAGTCTCCTATGAATAGTTTAGTGGAGAAGTGAAAGCACACATTGTATTAAAATCTAAATTAGAAGTTTTTGTTTTGAACCTTTAAAAAAAATCTTTAGTTATAGTGCAAAGACACTGGATATTCATCACACACTCTGGATTGCCAGCCCTGATCAGCATCAATCCCTGTGCTCACAATATTAAACCATCAAACCAAGGAGGATTTCTTAAACATAACATGTGAATACATTGTTGACATTAATAACTGTTGCAAAAAAAAAAAATCAAAAAAGAGAAAAATAAAATCATTACCTGTTTGGGAGGCGAATTCTCTTTATGGCATAGTTGCAGTCATCTACTTTATTTCGGGCCTCAAATACAACCCCAAAGCCACCTCGGCCTAAGCACCTGATAGGCTCAAAATCTGTGAGATATCTGTAAAGCAGAAAAAGGTCATATTTAAAAATAAGTCATTCACACTTTCGATCACAAATTAGATCTAATCCAATACGACGAATATGAGCCATCTTTTTATGTCTGTACAGGATTTTGAGATATAATTAGCTACTACCAGAAGAGTCCAATCACGGCTTTCTATGTGCCCTGAACACGCCATACACCCGCGGTGGTGTGCAGAACATCAAATAAACAAGCCCTGAGCAGTGATTGAAGCACATCAGAACAGGTTTCATTGTGAACTGACCGTGACACGTATCCACAGCTGTATTCACCCCTGTCAGCAAGGTCTCCATTCATGGAATCGTATTTGCTGTCAGTCTGACACTGAGTCTCAGATTCCTGCCTCTTCTGAAAGAAAAACAAAAAACAAAACAGATTTAAAAAAAAAAAAAACAAAAAAAAAAAAAAACAAAACACGACGTACGAGTGTGTGTGTGTGCGTGTGCGCATGCCCTTTTTAAAGCCATTACAAAAGTACTTTGTGAATAATGGAACAATTTTTTTTTTTTTATTACAGTCAATAATCTCTACAGTCTAGTCCAGCTAATAAATACACAGTTTATCCACTTCAGCTCTGGAAGATGTTACCCACTTCATGACCAGGGCATTTTATAATTTTGTTTGCTATTTGGCATTGCATTACTTTAGCTGGCAATTACACGGTTATGCAACATTGTACCCGCATGAAAATTATATTTTTCTTCCCCTAACAAAAACAGCTTTTTTCTTTTTAATTATAAAAAAAAAAAAACAAAAAACAAAATGTATAATTATATATACAAAAATAAAAATAATAGTTTCTATTTTCTGTTCTAAAACATATCTGATAAACAAAACATCAAAATAAATTTAGGCCAAAATGTATTCTGCTACGTCTTTGGTAACAAACAAAAAAAAAATCCCAATAAGTGTATATTAATTGGTTTGTGCAAAAGTTATAGCACAATGAAATATAGTGGGACTGTGATAGTACTGACTATATGACCATGACAACTCCAGTGACACTAATACAGTGATCGGTGCTGATACTATACACTGTCACTGTACTAATGACACTAGCTGGGAAGTGGTTAACATCTAAGGGCAATCAAGGGATTAACTGTGTGCCGAACGTGTAATATGTGGAATATGTGTGGCTTTTACTACTAGATGTGACCGTTTTATCTCACTGCTTTGAATTGAAGAAAAAAAAAAAAGAAAAGAAAAACAGCCAAGTCGATTCTCTCTGTTCAGAACCCTGTGTTGTTTGTCAACACAGGGCTCGGAATGGTCATTCGCTAAGTCACTCAGCAGGTCCCAGCCATAAATCACTGTCTGGAACCCACGGATTGGCTTGTGCTGTAGCAAATGACAGCACAGAAAGGGCGGCACAGAAAGGGCGGCACCCCCCCCCCATACCTGGAAATGCCAGATCATGTACGTGATCTGACACAGCGATGCAGCTCTGCCACAGTAAAGGTGCGTTAGGCAGTCCGCAAGTAGTTATTAATATTTCACATACCAGCTGACAAAAGCATTAACCCACCAAGAATGAAGTAGAGCAAGTAAATCCACATACCCTGGCACTGTGTGGGTGAGGTTGGAACAGCTTGCGTACCACATAGGTGGTGGCAGTGATACACAGCAGGATGGTGCCCACTATCTCCTTCCACCAGTGCAGCAGTAGAACGGGATCTTTCTTCCTGATGTTCTTGTAGTTTGGGTTCTCCAGGATCCCAATGGTGATCTGAGTACCCCGCTTGCTGCGCTCTCTCCTGTAGTATGGCAGGTAATAACCGTTATCTGAAAGAAGGGACACATTATGAAATTACGTTTGAAGGAGCATCCTCTTCTCAGTGAACGTTTTATGGAAAGCAAGCACAGACGAAGCTACACTGAGCTGTAGAGGGCACTAGAGTAGGAGGAACTCAGCCCATCTGCTCAACAGGCTGAACAAGTAAATAAGGGGTGGCCATGTTAGTAATGTAAACTGTCCGTATTTAGAATTGGACTAACAATAGTTGCATCCACTGCTGTGTCTGTTGTCCATTCAAACATCTCAATCAAAAGAGGAACTGCTAATGAAAGTATTTAACCACTTTTCTCTGCGTGAACATCATGACATCACCAGGTTGAAGTGGGTTATACCGGGATGATGCCTGCAGCTACAGGTAGCAACTCGGTATCAAAATTTTCAGCAGTCAATGCGGTTTCTTGTAGAAGTGATTCAAGTGGCTGTACAGTCATTCGATCACTTCTACGGGCAATGGAAGGGGGTAACAGACCTCATATCTATCCATAAAGAGGACCTGTCATGCTCATTGTTGTTTATCCCTTGTGATAGCAAAAGTTAATAAAAAAAAAAAATTGAAAGCACCTCTGTGCTCATCTGCAAAATGCATTCTAGCACCAGACCCCCTGTGTAACTCTAAACAGGTAACCTTCACAGGCTTTTAAAAAGTGTCATCTAGATTTTTCTTTAGGTACCGTACTTTGGCACCATTCCACAGACATACACAATTTTAAAGCATGACATGTTAGGTATCCATTTACTAGGCGCAACAATCTTTTATATTGTATAAAAAAAATTGGGTCATATATTGTGTTCACTAAAAATCATTCAGGGGTCTTAAAAAAAAAAAAAAAAAAAAAAAAAAGTTTGAAAAAAACAGTTGCACAAATACAGAGTAACATATAAAAAGTGCAACACCCACCATTCTATTCCCTAGGGCTTCCGCTTAAATATTTTTTATATATATATATATACACACAGTGGGGATTGAAAGTTTGGGCACCCCAGCTAAAAAATTTGTATTAATGTGCATAAAGAAGCCAAGGAAAGATGGAAAAAATCTCCAAAAGGCATCAAATTACAGATTAGACATTCTTATAATATGTCAACAAAAGTTAGATTTAATTTTCCATCATTTACACTTTCAAAATAACAGAAAACAAAAAAATGGCGTCTGCAAAAGTTTGGGCACCCCAAAGAGTTAATATCTTGTACTGCCCCCTTTGGCAAGTATCACAGCTTGTAAACACTTCTTGTAGCCAGCCAACAGTCTTTCAATTCTTGTTTGAGGTATCTTTGCCCATTCTTCCTTACAAAAGTCTTCCAGTTCTTTGAGATTTCTGGGCTGTCTGTCACGCACTGCTCTTTTAAGGTCTATCCATAGATTTTCAATTATGTTGAGGTCAGGAGATTGTGAAGGCCATGGCAAAACCTTCAATTTACGCCTCTTGATGTAATCCCCCGTGGATTTCGAGGTGTGTTTAGGATCATTATCCATTTGTAGAAGCCATCCTCTCTTTAACTTCAGCTTTTTCACAGATGGCATCAAGTTACCATGCAAAATTTGATGAAATTTTATTGAATCCATTTTTCCTTCTACTCGTGAGATGTTCCCTGTGCCACTGGCTGAAACACAACCCAAAAGCATGATTGATCCAACCCCATGCTTAACAGTTGGACAGAGGTTTTTTTCATTAAATTCTGTGCCCCTTCTTCTCCAAACGTACCTTTGCTCATTCCGGCCAAAAAGTTCAATTTTAACCTCATCGGTCCACAGAACTTGTTTCCAAAATGCATCAGGCTTGTCTATATGTTCATTTGCAAAGTTCAAACGATGATTTTTGTGGTGAGGACGTAGAAGAGGTTTTCTTCTGATGACTCTTTCATGAAGACCATATTTGTACAAGTATCTCTTTATAGTGGAATAGTGTACCACAACTCCAATAGTCTGCCAGATCTTTCTGGAGGGATCGTGCTGTCAAACGTGGGTTTTGAATTGTTTTTCTCACAATCCTGCGAGCTGTTCTGTCTGATATTTTTCTTGGTCTTCCAGATCTTGCTTTAACTTCCACTGTTCCTGATGACTGCCATTTCTTAATTACATTCCGAACAGAGGATATTGACATCTGAAAACGCTTTGCTATCTTCTTATGGCCTTCTCCAGCTTTGTGAGCATCAACTATTTTCAGTTTCAGTTTTCTAGACAACTGTTTAGAAGAACCCATGGTGCTGATTGTTGGGGCAAGGTCAGATGAGTCTGGGCATTTAAAACCTTTGAGATTGACATCACCTGGTCTTCCCAGACGATGATTGAGAATAATCCATGACACTGGCAGGTCTCAGCTTGGCAAAGGGGGCAGTGCATGCTATAAATTCTGCAGGGTGCCCAAACTTTTGCAGATGCCATTGTTTTGTTTTCTGTTATTTTGAAAGTGTAAATGATGGAAATAAAATCTAACTTTTGTTGACATATTATAAGAATGTCTAATCTGTAATTTGATGCCTTTTGGAGATTTTTCCATCTTTCCTTGGCTTCTTTATGCACATTAATACAAATTTTTAGCTGGGGTGCCCAAACTTTCGATCCCCACTGTATATATATATATATATATATATATATATATATATATATATATATATATATATATATATATATATATATATATAATGTTTGGGGGTTCTAAGTTTCCTAGCAAAAAAAAAAGTTTTTAAAAATCTAAAATGTATGTGAGAAGTGTCAGAACTGGCCGGGTAGGCAAGTAGTTAAAAATTATAAGTGGTCCTTTCACACGATGCCCTTATGAACATATTTATAAATCTATAGTTTGGTAGAGATAGGTATTTCCTGACAACAACTGATCCATAGCTAAACTACATACATTAGAGGTGGTCAGCTTTCATAGTCTCAGCTCTAAGAGGAGTAATGTAATATCTGTTATGTAAGGATCCTTTAAAGGAATTATAAAACCTTATTTAGGGCCCACAGCCAAAAGGCTATTTATCTCTTCTGTGGTCTTCAACTCTATGCTCTTTACTACAATGAATGATCACAATCTCATATTAAACATCTCTTCCTAAAAGTGAGCCTTTTATATTCTAACAGAAGAAAATTTAAGCGATTATCATTGTACGTCATGCAGATTAAATCCATTACCACAGAAAACCAATGATCATTAATGATGAGATTATCAAGTGAAAACAAAAATTAAAGGTGGTTTGTCAGAGTGGGCAATGTGCACACACAATGAAGAGGCCACACAGTGTTGGAATGGAGTCACACAGTACAATGATGTACCAGTAGGAAGCAGAGATGGAGGTGCAGCCATGCCGACATCTGCTACACTGTGCCGTGGGGCTCTTTCAAGTTTCGGGTCTCCTCCAGTCTTTGCTAGAAACAAGGTGAACAAGTCAGGAGAACCACTGCACAAGGTTTCAGCAGAAATAGTGGCCAATTTCAGTAAGTTCCAACACTTTCCTGGCTAGCAATAACTTATGCTATAAAGTTACACACTTGTATGCTGATCATAACTCCTGATTAAGGATCTCTTGATCATGCCTGGGGGTTGAAGGAAATGGTTTCATGCTGCTATTTTCAAACATGCCATTTTGTCACATTTGAATATTTTACACAAAAAGTTTGCATATCTCACCAGATCAAAGCCTTTCCTAACTGTATCTGGCATTAAATACATAGTAAAGAATTTTCAGACTGATTTTCTATAAAAATATACCTTGTTCCTAGGGATCATTTGCAGGAAGTGACAACATAGCCAGTCATAACCATCCAGCATAAGCTAGTGTCCACTGGAGCCTGTTGCAGAAAACCAACACTGTGGGGGTTATTTACTAAAACTGCAGAGTGCAAGATCTGCTGCCGCCCTGCAGAGAAAACAATCAGCTTCCAGATTTTATGGTCAAATCCCAATTGAACAAGATGACGTTACAAGCTGATTGACTACCATGCACAGCTGCACCAGATTCCGAGTGCTCCAGTTTTAGTAAATCTACCCCAGAACATACTGCTGAGAATAGAGTCAGGTGTGTATGAGGAGCAATGGATGTCAAGCTGCACCTCTTCATGTACCACAACAGTATGTAAACCTAAAGACCAAGGTGGTCCGATCAAACTATTAATTTCACCAACAGATGCAAAGGATGTGAGCGCTGTATAACCTGTGTACCTGTATCCTCGGCTACATACAGTATACAGCTTTGTGCTCTCAAGAAGGACAGAAACTTTCACTCAGAGTCACAGTAAGCATTGCTCACCCATTTACAGGAAGTTTTTTTATTTTGTGAATGAATACAAAGCTTCCCCTGACTGGCTGAGACAGATTGGTGAGTCGATTAAGTCATGATCTCCACCTCCACCACAGCATATTCTATGAATACAAAGCTCCCTGCGAATGGCTGAGTAGCACTCAGTCCGCCTTGATTTTGTTCCAAGTGCAGAACAGGAAGTTCCTATCCCGCTGCCAAAACATAACTCTATACTAGGATTTTCCAACCTTCTCAACATAGAAGAACCCTTGAAATGACTTTCCATTCTCAGGGAACCCCTGTAAAAAATTACTATAGTGTACAACTCATGATACATTAGTGTGATGGACTGTGAGAAGAATGCGCCTTATACTTGTGGACATTGGTAAGAACTACCCCAGATAGCTATGTTGGTGTCAGTGGGAACTTATCTTCGAGGCTGAAAATGCTCAATTCTCAAGAAACACCTAGCACCCTCTGGAGTGTTCTTCATATTTGGTCTCTGCTCCTCCCTTTCCTTTGGTTTAGTTCTTGCTGTATAGATAACCCACTCTTATATTCATTTCCAAGTAATGCATTTCAGCTTCTAGCCTCATGTCTTAAGGAAGCAGATCACATTATGATCTTTTGACCTATCCGATGTTCATTGTTGTAAGATTCTCTCAGTTTATGGAATAAACTTCACAAGATCTACACGGTGTCATCCCACCACACACACACACACTAAATAAAATATCCATATGCATGAAAATATTATTAATACATGATTTATGTGCAAAGAAGATCACTCCCAATATCAATCCATGCATCCCATATGGACTGATACTACAAATATAGATCAAAAAGTGATAAAAAAAAAAAAAAAAGTCCAATCAAAGTGTATATCCAAATTCATATAGTGTCCAAAACTGTTCAGAAAAAGAGGGCAAAAAATCTTCTTCCCCGTATCACCAGCACTGTGCACGTCTTCACCCATATGCACTCACCAGAGGGCTAGAATACAAATGCATGTATCATAGCCAGCGTAGTAATTCCAGTGTTCCAATCCCTTATCACCTATTCGAAAGTCCTAAATGGAAAAAGGAGCTCACACCACATAGCCCCAGATAGAAGTATATAGTGTAGTATGTTTTATTTAAAAAAAAAAAAAAAACACAACTATTAAAACAAACCTAAAAACAACCACATGGATGCATCAATCTGTCTGTACTTACAGAGATGACCGCCGCTCCAAGTACCGGAATCGGTGGCACAATGTCAGCACGTAAGGCCCCTCCCAAAGCGTTTCGTACGCAGCACGTCCTGAGGAGATATGCCTACTGTCGATGTCAATCATAATCACCCTTAAATAGCCTCAAGGCTTCCAAATCGCTGAATGACACATGCTGAAGTCACGCAGCCGGTTCCAGTACTCGGAGCAGCTAACATCTCTGTAAGTCCAGACAAATTGTTTGATGCATCCACGTGGTTGTTTTTAGCTTCGTTTAACCGTTTTCCACCACCCTATAGCAGAAATACTGCTACAGGGCGGCAGGGGTGTGCAGAATCATGTATATATTCACACACGTGATTTTGCATTTCTGGGTAGGGGGCACGTGAGCCGCCATTGGCGGCCTCAACGGTCGATCACCAGGTCGCGGTCGGTGATTGCCGTGCATCACCGACAAGGAAGAGAACAGTATGTAAACAAGACAGATCTCTCCCATCAGCTCCTTCACACTGCTTTGTATTGATCTGCATAGCAGAGCAATACAAAGCAATGTGCTTACACAATAAAACACAACACACAGTTAACTCTTTGATCACCCCAGATGTTAACCCCTTCCTGCCCAGTGCCATTACTACAGTGTCAGTGCTTTTTATTAGCACAGATCACTCTATTGGTGTCACTGGGGATGTCAGTGACAGTCAGTGTCAGAATGCCTGCCACAATCTCGCAATAGATCGCTAATCACTGCCATTACTAGTATATATAAAAAAAGAAAATTGAAGTATCTATACCGCCATTTGCAGATGCTTAACTTTCATGTAAACCAATTAATTTACATGGACTGGGATTTTTTTTTTTTTTTTTTTAGCAAAGACATTTTATGACGAAATTTGATTTTTTACATTTTTTTTACTGGACATGGTTAATAGCAAAAAAGTCAGAAAGTCAAAAATATAGTTTTTTTTTTCCTCAGATTCGTTGGTCTTTTTTTTTTTAATAGCACAAAAAATAAAAAATAAAAAAAAAAAAACACAGAGGTGGTATCAAATACCACTAAAAGAAAGCTCTATTTGTGGGAAAAAAGGACACATTTAATTTGAATGCTTCATTGCATGACCACACAATTGTCAATTATAGTAAACGCAGCACCGTATCACACAAAATGGCCTGGTCAGGAAGGGGGTAAATACTCTGGAGGGCAAGTACTTAATAGAGTTTTTTAATAAAACATGCTACACTATATACTTCTATCTGGGGTCTGTGGTGTGAGCTCCTTTCCATTTAGGACTTCTTGTGGGTGGAATACAATTAATTTTTTAAATACAACACAGTTCAGAAAAAGTATGGTGGCACTCTGTATAGCACCACAAATGTGTGAGGGGAAAAGAATAAAAAAAAAAAAAAAAAAAAACACACTTGTTTACAGTCATATTATAAACTGAGGTGGGGTGTAAACCTACCGTATGGATACTGCAGCACAGACAGCGCCCCATTGCTGTACTCCTCATGGGAAAACTTGTCATTGCTGAGACATTTATCAAACTCATCAGAACCAACCAACACTGGAGTCCTGGAGGGAGAGTCTGGGGAAGACAAAATAAACAAACCGATATCAAGTTAATGATTGCAATCTCTACATAATAAATTTAAGATGCAGATCTTTTCAGTAATTTTCAGCAGATAAAAGGGGACTTAAATGCAAGACATATGACAATTCACATCCGCCCACCCATATAGATTATGGCTCAGTCTGGATCGATCTGAAAAACAGATGGATTTAGACTGAATGTTCACGTGAAAGGGCCCTTAACTAAATTATAATCTAATAAAAAAAAAATCTGATAGCCACTTAAAAAAAAAAAAAAAAAAAAAAAAAATCACAAAAAAGAGGAAGGTTTTAGAAGCTCTGTTTGGTTTTTATTCTCAAGATATATACAGGTATAAGAAACTGACAAAGCTCAAACTAGAGGAGCTGCAAATAAGCAAAATAAATACATGCATACATTGACATGCTATGGAGGTGTAGCTAATCCGCATTGCGATTATACCAAGTCTTTCAAAGAGCAGTCCTTAGTTCCATTCTATTCTGAAATGGTTAGAAGCAAACACCAAGAGAGGAAATAAAGCAGCACTTACGAATCAATGGCTTCCATTTGATTCTTGGCAGTGATATAATGGCATGCTTATCCTTCATTGTATCCAGGGCTGTGGGATTAACTGGAAATTTCTCAGACGGCCGGACAGATGACTGCAGATACAGCTGTCCACGATACATCCCTAAAAAACAACCAACGAGGCATGTCATATTTAAACATCCGTTGTACAACAGAAGCAAATTTGACAAGCATAAGAATGGTAGTCAATAGGACCACATGTTGCTCACATCAAAGGAAGTATAATAGAAATATTTTTAATTATTATTAAGCCTGTGTAGGATGAGGAATCGTTTTAAAACATTCTAGAAGTTTAACTAAACTCCCTGCGCCATTATAAACTGTCAGAAATGGAGTGCGCCACATTAAAGCAGGACTTTGTCCATAACAATTCGATTTACAAAAAAACAAAACAAATGGTGTCCCAGTATGTGTTGTAAATCCCCTCCAGCATTGTTCCTGTTTCTTATTGCCAGAGGCTGCCATTTTTATTTTGCTGAAGCCCAGAGCAACAGTAAATCATCAAGCTGGCAGAAGATCGGCCTCTACATTTTCGGCGCAGTGCCAAAAAATAGAGAGAAACTGAGCTTGCGCAGAGCAGATTGTGACAGTGTATTACTGGATTATAGGCACTGTTGTCTAACGTAGCTATACCTGCAAAAGGGGCTAGCATAAAGTGATCTAGTAGGACTTCAATTTTATTACTAAAGTTCCACCTTAACTAAGCAGATACACCTGTTTCAGGTCCATATGCGCCACCCATGCCAGTTTCTATTTCAGAGTGAAATAGAAGCCTACAGAGATCTTCACCTAATTAACAGAGGAAATGCAGCAGTTTTCCATACAGAAAACTGTTACAGATTCCTGCCAGGTGTGACCTTGTAGTATGGGATGTGACCTGTTTGCCAATAGCTCGCACTTCCCTCACTCTGCCTGTGCAGTGATAACAATACACGAGCAGAGCTGGGGGTGGGAATGAGCAGAGAAATCAAGGCTTGCAGCTCCTGATCTCCATTCTCTGTGCTGCATCTGTCAGAGCCACAAAACGGATCGCTCTTAATTAACGAAGGGCTTTGAGCCCCTTTGTTAAATAGGAGCAGCATCTGCTCCATTTTTATGTTTACAAGAGTAGCACAAGCATTGTGCTTGCATCACTCTTTGTTAATTCCACCCATTGTTTCTATATACCACTGTTCTAACTCAGCCTTTCTCCCTGGTAGAAATTTCGAGTGACTACTCTGCCACTAGAACTTGCGTCTCCACTACAACATAATGGTCCCAGGCTACTCCAGGTTGTAGTATTCGCATACTAAAAATAAGCACAGAATAACATGTCAATATCACACAGATGGCCCATAGAACATGGAAATCTTGCCACTTACCCAGGTAGAAACTGGACTCTGTAGCTCCTCTAGCTGCTTCTACAATATCCTCCTCATCCTCCATAATATCTTCATCTGAGGTATAACTTGTGTCATCAAACAGACTTATAGGAAAGACCTTCCCATCTCTAACCAACCAGGCTGAAGCGATTGGAGTGCAGAACTACATAAGAATAAGACATTTTCTCCATTTATCCACAATTCTGCATGAAAGGTAGCATGTATAATTTATATATATCTGAAAGACTAGAGACAAATGTAGGTTTAGACTACAGAAGGAAAAAGCAGGACTGAGAAACCGTCAATGTAAAAATGTAAGCAGCTTAACTTAAAAACCCTTACCAATGCATTTGTTCCTGTGTCTAGTCTATAATTACTTTTCTACAGGGGCAGTTATATTCACTTACGCTGTTCCTTCTGCTAACCACTTCAGCATAATTGTGCTTTACGCTTCTCTTATCTCAGTGCAAATCTGTCATTTCAGGGTGGACAATGATACACAGCATACTGGACATTCTCTATGCCAACCTTTTTCAACCAGGGTGCACAGAACCCTGGGGTGCCTTGAGGTTTCTTCAGGGGTGCCTTGGCAAAATGCCTAAAAATTGTCCAATAATTGTGTACAAGCCAGAGGTTGATCAAGCCTGCCTCTTGGTTACACAAAGCAACGGATTTCATTATGCACCATTGTGACCTTCTAGCTGCTGGCATCCCAACAACCAATATCAGTTGCTAAGGAGGATGTTGGTCATCTGCACAACATCCTTGTTTGACACTCCTCTGCCCCTCTCCAGCAGCACTGGGATCACATTAGCTCAGTGATAGAGAAAAAACATAGGGAGCAGAGAATCATTGGAATATTAGTCAGTACCAGTGTGCAAAAGTGTATTTGATTTGGAAGAATAAATTACCTCTAATGTTCTACGTGTGTGGATGTTGACACATTATGTAAAACTATTACAATAGTGGATTACATTTTATAATGGGTGCCTCAAGACTGTCCATAATTTTAAAGGGTGCCTTGACGGAAAAAAAAAAAAAAAAAAAAAAAGTAAACACTGCTGTATGCAGTGGCTGGCTTCACATTGGTGCATTGTGGTAAAATGCACATTTTGCAGCTTATTAAAGCATCGAGTGGTAACACAAGATCAGCAGCAAAAAATCAAAAATTCTGAATGACACCTCAAGGCAACACCTGTGCGTTTCTTGCTGGCAGAATTTTTCAGAAAGGATGGGCTACCTAAATGCAACACACTTTCACATGCCTGTGGTAATACTACATGAGGGAAGGGAAAAAAATTCCTGTTCTAGGGTGACAATGCTGCTTTTCCACAGATAAAGTATGCAAAATTAAAGGTTGTCACAGAAATACAAGTGTATTACTGGAAGAATCACCAGCTGAAAACGCAGAGAAAAAAGCCTGAAACAAAGAAACTAATGCAGGCACCACATCTAAGGATGCTTGATAGTAGTGAGTTTTCCCTTTTTATTTTGGGCAATTGAGGTTGGAAAAGGGCTTTATGAATTTGAGGAATAACCCCGCAAGTGAAAGGTTATATTGAATTTTGTCATAATGCACAGAACAATGTATTGTTATGACTGTAATTAAGCAGATGGTGGAATATGGATATGCTGACTAGTTCGTTTATTACACTGTAATGTAGCACGGAAGGGTGAGGCAAAGCACACCCTCTTGTTATGTTTTATTCAGCTGGGCTGAACAGACTGTATGCCAAACTACCAGGACAAAAGTACAGTGTTGAATGAGAATGAGCACATTGGAAGGACCTAATAAAAAAACACAGCCACTAAAGCTAAGGACTGGTAAACCGCAATATTTTTAAATGTATGATTTTTTTTACATTTTGGTTTAGAACACTACATACAAAACACACACTCCACGTATGCATTCAGCATATACATAATATGTTGGTTGTACCTGGTGCTCCCACTCTAGGCTTCCCAGTTTTCTGTTAAAGGCCATGACCTTCCAATCAGCCACAGACACTTTAATGACTACGTCCTTTGTTCCGGTTTCCTGCTCATCAATGTCAGAAATGATTTTTGATTCGTCTGTGCCCCCACTGGGTTCCAGTTGCCCTGCAATGAACCCCACTCCTGGGTCAACGTCAGGGATGTAGCGCAGCTCAAAATGCCCAACGCTAAAATTCCACCTATGGTACACGGGATGTCAAATATAAATCATCAAATATCATCTTTACATGAAGTGAAGCTCACATCAAAAAAAAGCCCTACCCTAAAAATTACTGCAGGTGGGTGAAGGGAATAACTAAAATAGAATTAGCTAGAATGTGATACTAAAAGCTGCCAAACATCTAAATAAAATCTTAGAAAACAAATTATAAAAAAACAAATATCTAGATCTCTTAGATATCAGTTTTAAGTAGGCTACGTTTTTAAGACAAATGAGTCACTAAAACATACTACATAGCTAGTGCTATATAGCTGGCACACAAAAGGTTTTATATATATTTATTTTTAACTATTTTTCTTGAGGTGATTGTAGCCATATTAGTGCACTTGCGACAGAAACAATTGAGTACTGACGTGATACTTTTTTATTTGCACTAAAATACAATTTTGAGGACAAGCTTTCGGGGTATGTCCCCTTCTTCAAGGTCCAGGCCGTACTACTACAAAGTTTTAGCAGAATGTTAGAAGAGATGTTGAAAGGGGAAGGTTTTTTTTTTTATCCTCCCCCTTTCAACATTTCTTCTAATATTCTTCTAAAACTTTGTAGTAGTACTGCCTGGACCTTGAAGAAGGGGACATACCCCGAAAGCTTGTCCTCAAAATTGTATGTTAGTGCAAATAAAAAAAGTATCACGTCAGTACTCAATTGTTTCTGTAACAATTTTTCTGTAATCCTGGGACTAATGGACATGGGGGGATAAGCTGTATCACATCTGCTGGACATGGGGATAAGCTGTATCACATCTGCCTGACAATAGCCAACGTGACAATGAGCAATCCCACTCCGACTATGCCTTAGATGAACTAAAATCTGCAACACACCCTGGTGCTGGATAATCAACCTTTGCCATGGTAGGTGCTTGGCAGCAGATGTGCTTCCAAAACTGCAAACATAAACCATTGTTCACAAGCCGCATACACTTCTTTTCAATTGTCCACCATGCGCTTTATGCTGGTCTCTCAGGGCAGGCAAGTTACTCAAAACGTGGGGAGGGTATGTCAGGTGACCATCCTGTCAGACTGTATTTTTAATCAGAATCTAAGCCCATAAAGTTTTATTTTAAAGCGAGTATGCAGAAAGTTAGCTGCCTAGGGTGCCATTGTCACAAAAAGGATAGTTATCCTTTAATAAAAACAAACAAAAGAAAAAACACAAAACACAACCATTCCATAATTCCATGAACGCTGCATTAGCATGCATGTATATACAGTATAAATTAGAACATCTAGCTAAAATACCGCATGATAAACAGCTTAGGTCTGTTAAACATACTTTTCGCTCCCACTGCGAGGCCCCACAGCACGCACTGTTTTCTGTTTCCGGTGCAACAAAAGAACATCATCCTGCTCCACCTCTTCTTCATTCCACCGACGACAGCCCATGGCTGAGCAGACATATTTCACCTGGATTTACATTGTAAAGCATATTTGTATATAATACATGCCAACATAGAAACTTCACTGAATATTGTCACATGATAAGCACTGGTTCAAACCAGATCCAACTTTGAAATCGTGTGACTTCTTCAAGTGAGGTCACATGATTTCAAAGTTGCACATCAGTGGGATTTCAGGTGCGACTTGGCAGACATATGTGCGACTTCATACACAGATGTCTATGCAAGTCCCACCTGAAATCATAAAACATATTAAAAGGTGCTATTTTCCAAAATCGGTGCAACTTCGATGGAGTTGCACAGATTTGAACAGTTCCATTGCAGACAATAGGGTGAGACTTGTCATGCAATGTGAAACTGTTAAATCACATGACAAGCTGAACAGAGGTGAACCAGGGCTAAATGTGGGAAAAAGTGAGTGGGTCGAGATTCACCTTGCCACTGCTAGCACTGAGCCCGTAGGTCGTAAGGGACTTTCCTCCAACCAACACAACATCATCACCAAACTTATATGACGACTCCAGAAGAGACTCCACTGTAAACGGAACAGCTTCCATACTCTCTCGATCACGATCCCACTGAAAGAGATCACCATCCAGAGAGGGGATAATCATTTTATTGCCAAAAACCTAAGACAAGAGAGAAAGGAAAAATAAAAAAAAATATTTGAGAGAGCTTGTATAAAAAAAAAAAAAAAAAAAAAAAAAAGTTCTACACTTTAGTCCATTAAATATTCTGAGAAGTTACATTAAAAAAAAAAAAAAAAAAAAGTGAATTCTCTGTTACTCTGTTAACCAGGAGCGGGTTGCCATTCATAAACAGTGCCCGCATTTTAAGCATGTGCACGCTCTCTGGGAGCGCACGGTGCCCGCTGTGTCCGGAGGAACATCGATCACTGTATTGGCCGATCAGTGATCACATGAATAGTAGTAAGCAAGATGTAGTAAGCAAACAGTGCAAGATAAGCACTGTTTCTGAGAACTGCTGTACATCTGTGTTGCATGGAGTCAACCAACTTCTGGCCCCTGTGAACAGGTATTCCAGCCCAGGATGATTGGACTACATTCCACAGTTCTTCTCTATTTCTTGGTTTTTCCTCAGAAACTGCATCGGACCAGTGCATATACACCTGGTTGTTTCACTTCTCTATTGCAAATTATTCAGCTTCAGAGCAACCATGTGTACTATCTGCAGTGACACGTAGAATTCTGCTGCTTTACAAAAAGGAAAAAAAAATTGAAAGCCAGGTGTACATACATGATGGAACGGATCTGTGTGTAATATAGTTCAAAGACAAAAACTAAAACAGCACTATACCAAAAATAATCCAATACCAAACCAATCAATGCTGTTTAAATCTATACATTTATCCAACCGAATCCATGTTAATGGCATATGTATATTTTGTATGTACAGTTGTGTTCAAAATAATAGCAGTGTGTTGAAAAAAGTGAATAAAGCTCAAAATCCTTCTAATAGCTTTTATTTCCATACACACAAATGCATTGGGAACGCTACACATTCTAGTCCAAATCAAAACATGAAGAAAAATAGATCAAATTTGTGTTGTTCCTCTAAAAAATTTGAAGAAAAGTGAATATTTGACTGTTCAAAAAAATAGTGTTTGTATTCTTCTTTACAAATTCAAACATTCACTATATAAACTGAAAAATGTTTGAAGATTTTGCTTTCCTTTGAATCACTGATCCATGATCCCTGGTATGCGATAAATAGGCCCAACACCGTAGTATGAGAAACATCCCCATATCATGATGCTTGCACCACCATGCTTCACTGTCTTCACAGTGTACTGTGGCTTGAATTCAGTGTTTGGGGGTCGTCTGACAAACTGTCTCCGGCCACTAGACCCAAAAAGAACAATCTTACTTTCATCAGTCCACAAAATGTTCCGCCATTTCTCTTTAGGCCAGTCAATGTGCTCTTTGGGAAATTGTAACCTCTTCAGCACATGTCTTTTTTCCAACAGTGGGACTTTGCGGGGGCTTCTTGCAGATAGCTTGGCTTCACATAGGCGTCTTCTAATTGTAACAGTACTCACAGGGAACTTTACACCTTCTTTGATCTTCCTGGAGCTGATTGTTGGCTGAGTCCTTGCCATTTTGGCTATTCTTCTATCCATTCAAATGATAGTTTTTCGCTTTCTTCCACGTCTTTCAGGTTTTGGTTGCCATTTTAAAGCATTTGTGATCATTTTAGCTGAGCAGCCTATTTTTTTTCTGCACTTCTTTATATGTTTTCCCCTCTCCAATCAACCTTTTAATCAAGGTACGCTGTTCTTCTGAACAATGTCTGGAATGACCCATTTTCCTCAGAATATCAGAGAGAAATGCACTGTAACCAGCATGTACAACATTTGCTGCCTTCCTTCCTTAAATAAGGGCAATAATTACCACCTGTTTTTCAAAGAATGAATGACCTCACTAATAGAACTCCACACTGCTAATATTTTGAACATGCCCCTTTCAATTAGTGATTCAATTACACAGAATCAGCAGCATGCATGTCATGACTGTTGGGTCTGTTGGATTTCTATTACTCTACTACACCTGCTAGTAAATTATTTGCCATGTAGAAATATCATGTCTACCAAAAACAGTGATTGATCAGGTTAGTGATGTCTGACTGCTATTATTTTGAACACAACTGTAAATAGCAAAAAAACAAAAAAAAAAACAAATCCCAGTGGTGAATAAATACCACCAAAATAAAAGTTTTATCTGTCTCAAAAACATTCATATGGGTACAGTGTTGCATGATCGCACAATTGTCATTCAATGTGTGACAGCGCTGAAAGCTGAAAATTGGCCTGAACAGGAAGGGGGTATAAGTGTCTGGACATGAGGTGGTTAAAGTGGACTTATAATTAAAATTAATTCCTAAAAGGGATCATTATTGTGGAAAAACAATGCAGCCTGGTGAGTCTTAGGGTTCCTCCAGAGGTTGCTTGTGGTTCCTTCAGCTGTGGCTAACTGACCTCCCATCTGATGGTGCCTGCATAGTACAGGGGCCAGTACCATTTGGCAAGCTAGCAGAATGACACCAATGATATTTTTACCTCACTTTAAAGGTAGTATTCTGGCTACCGATGTAACGGGGGCAACTCTTCCCGCTGACCACTAATATAAAGAGCATTTTCCCCAAACACCACCAATGGACTAATTTTAGCAGGGGTTCCCTGAAACCTAAAAATTATTTTAGTCATCCTCTCGGGTACACAGATTGAGAAAGGTTTCTGTAGGATGAGCTCAATAAGGAAAAGCAGAGAGCAAAGGACTTGTCATTAGTATTGCTGCTCTCTCACCCTCTTCTCACGGGACACAAAGGTAGCAAGGGGACCCGTAGATTCCTGCTGTTGTTAATCAAATCCTGAGAGGATGAAGCGGGAGGGCAGGTCTGAGCTGCACGGTGTGTGCGTCTATGGATGCACGCAGCCCGATTCTGGAGCATGCCTGCAGGAGTGCCCACAAAGCACACAGCTCGCTACGAGGATACTCAGAAAAGAGGAGGGGCAGATAGCGCTGGGAGGGGACCCCAAAATGAGGTTAGGAGCCGGTCTGTACAATAGTATTTATGAATAAGTCAGGTGACGAAACATGTCAAAGGGAAGTGACGTCAAGACGCGTTGAGTAACAGGAAGTGGCCGGTCGGCAATCTTGGATCCTGGAAATTCCATTCACAGACACAGGAGGAGTGTTCCTGAGGATCTATGGAGGGTCTGTTCATAATTTTAATATGATGTGACATTTCTGCAATAAAATTTATGTGGTATTGAAGAACTTCCTATTGCTGTTTGTGGTGTCATTATCCGGAGTCATTGAGAACATGACCGGATGAGTATTTACATGAACTTTATCAGTATAATCTGCTCAGCTTTGGAGGGAATCTATATGGTAATGGAGGAGGAATTTCCCACTTGCTAAGTTTGAAAAGCCGTTTTTGGATTGGGACTTCCATGCTTGTTATATCCATGTTCTGGTAAGGGTGTTTTATCCTTACACTTAGAAGTGGACACGTGTTTACATGGTTTGCACACTGCATGAGAGGGTTTATAGCGGTTGGCACAGCTCACATTATACTCACCTGCATGAGTCACCACGTGTGGTTTAGTGTGATTCACATGCGTTTTGCAGTGATGTTGATATTACCTTATGTGTTTTTATGGTATCACACTATGTGAGTTCTCTCTTTTTTTGAGGTTCGATCTCCATAATCACTGGATCTACATTCGGCTGGAAGCCTTTTTTGCGGATTTTTGTCTATTCTGTTTATTTTATTATATTTTATTTTTTATTGTGGACAATATAATTTTTGGACAGTAGTATTTATTTATTAGTGTTATTTAGTATATTAGCACTATATATATATTTGTGCAATAGTATTGCCCAGAGCAGGTAAGTAGAATATGTTTATTATTTGAAGAAAAAAAAAAAATAGGACTTTAGAATGGCTTTAAAAGTAAAATGAACTATGGAGCACAAGGTTCAAATGGGCTGCAGTCAAAAAAAAAAAAAATTATATACACAAACACTGCACTCCAATAAACAAATTCCTTGATATGCCAAGTAAAGAATGCATACAAAAGCCTAGATGTGTGTAATGTACTGGGAGAATGGAAGAGACAGATGTGCTCAGCTGCTGTATTTCACACAATGAGTGTTTGAATATTTATGAATCACATTGCTGTGGCACCACACTGCTCTGCATGGGCCCTGGAGACCAAGGAAAGTGGGGGGCACTTGCAAAGAGTGGCGTGTGGAGCCCCTGCAAATGAAGGATGACATCATCCCTCTGTATACAGCATTACCTCATCTCTTAATCCAATGAGTCACCAGATCTGACAGCAGAATGCTGCGTATTAAAGGATCCGAGACTGCGGCACAAACACACAGGGTCACACTCCGCCACAGACATAATTAAGCTGCCTGACAGATGAGGATTAAGTGATGATGTGTATTCCCTGCAATAGAAGGACAGTTCATCTTGAGCAGATCAAGATAAATCCTAAACCGACCATCAATCATGTGACTATCTCAACACTGCTCAGACGATACAATGATTGTCTATGGAATGTTATTCTATTGGATGTTCTATGAAATATCATTCAACCAAATAGTTTTATTTACCACATATAAGAAAGCACCCTCTCTACAGTGACAGCAGATAAAAATTAGACATTTTAATGAAGGCAATGCTATTTTTTTTTTTTTTTTTTTTTTAGGAGAATACATTTTATTTTATGCCTCCCCCAAAAAAATATTCAAATTACTAGACACACAAGCACAAACCTGGAGTTGCTGCCAACAGCAATACCTATGTTGTATACGGTTTGTAAACAATGTGTGAGAGTACCTTTTCCTGAATTCACTTCAGTCTGGTCATGTGATGCAGAAGCTTTGATTCTCCTGTATCAGCGAGTGCTGGACAATGGAGCTGAATCTCCGGAGCCATGACATCACCCGCCGGCTTCTATTGCCCCGGCATTGTCGGTCCTTCCACCTCTCCCTTTGCAGCAACCACTGACGCAGGGGAGCTGCTGCCTCTGCATCACATGAGCGCACTGAAGAGTACACACAAACATTATACAGCATAGATAGGTGGGGGGGGGCAGTGTTTGTTTACAGACTTACAATACGCAGCCTAAACTTCCGCTAATATCTCCTGTTCAGGAGAAGACAACAAAAGATCCCCGCAAATCTCCTAAATGAATCAGAAACGTTCTGTATGTGGCTTGCCTCATATTGTTTGACTGTTCCTGGGGTCAGACTTACCTTTATAAGCCTTTTCTCTGAGACATTAAAGTGGAACGTCACTCTCTCAATCAACACGATTTTTAATCCCTATGCTGCTGGCATTAGTAAAAATAGATAAAGGTATATTATATTTACTCGTTTTTAACTTCTTTTTTTTTCCCCTTTCTTCAGGTACGTGATGGTTTTCAGATCTAGGCAAATTATATCATACATCCCTAGAGTCTTCAGGTGGGGTTCTCAGCTGAGCTTCCTCCTGCATGCCTGAGCTAAGGGCAGATGGATTCCGGGAAGTAAAGACTACATGAATCACCTGCCCTTTCTTGAGATGGCTGTGGCCAGAAATGCTAGGGAGAATTTTTCAAAAGCACAGAGCCATGGATAGATTGGGGGGGGGAGGGTTTGTTTTAAATATTGATCTCTTGACAGCGGCTCCACGCATATATGCTGCCCTGTTAAAACTAGTTACCGTGCTGAGAGCGAACTCCCTGCACGGTAGCCGGCGGTGATCGGTAAGCTCCTGACGCATACTTACGATCGGCCGCTTTACGATCATGTGACCGCTGTAACAGCCAATCATGACCCGAAGTCTCGCCTCTGCCTCCCGGCTTTTAGAACCCTCAAAGGCCTAGGAGGTGGTCGGCACTAAATGGTCAAAAAATAGTCAAATAATGTTTTTCATTTGTGGTGCTCAGATGCAGTGCATCAAAAATGCATGCATGGTGTCTTCCATGTATTCCAATGGTCCTAGTACACACCAGTGCAATCAGTTTCAGTGCGTTCCAGAGCAGGGAAAAAAAAAAAAAAAAAAAAAAAAAAAAAAGTAGAACATGCTGCATTTTTTTGTGCACAGTACTGCATTGGAACACATCAGAACGCATCAAAATGCTCCGGACGGAGTGTGGTGTGAACTGTAGGCAAAAACACATCCAGAGTGCAATTTCATGGTGTGAACTGGTCCTACAAAGCTTTCCACTTTGGTTATGATTATAATACAGGATTTATATAGCACCAACCGTTTGCTCAGCGCAATATAACGGGAGATAATACAGTTCAATACAAGGGCCTGATCCTTGGAGCTTACAATCTAAGAGGGAGGGGCTGGTGGTACAAAAGGTAATAACTGTGGGGGATGGACTGGTAGGAGGAATAGAAGATTCCAGTATTAGCTGAAGGCAGGATAGTCTTCCCAGAAGAGATAGGTTTTCAGAGATAGCCTAAAAATGAGCAGAGTAGGCAATAGTCTGATAAATTGGGGTAGAGAGTTCCAGAGGATGGGGGAAGCTCTGGAGAAGTCCTGGAGACGAGCATGGGAAGAGGAGACTAGGGAGCTAGAGAGCAGGAGGTTGTGGGAGGAGCGGAGAGGACGGTTTGGGTGATATTTGAAGACAAGATTGGTGAAGTAATTTGGGGCAGAGTTATAAATGGCTTTATATGTTATTGTTAATGTTTTGAATTTTATCCGTTGGGCAATGCGAAGCCAGTGGAGGGATTGGCAGAGAAGGGTGGCAGATATGGAATGGTTAGTAAAGTAGATGATGACTGCTCTGGAATACAATGTCACAGCTGCCCTTCAGGCTTTCTTCAGAAAGGTGACAAATTTACCAAGCACCCTATGCTAGTCCATGGAGATACAGCGGCTGTACGGACTCACGTTTGACAGGTAGGTAGGGGTGGGTGCATGGCCCTGATCATAGACCATGCAGATCTGGGACCGAGCACCCGTCCCTGCAAGCCATTCAATCAAACATGGATGTGTAGGCGAATATGTACAGCTACTGGGTCTCCGCTAAACCAGGCTGCCTACACACAGTTCCACATTGCTCCAGACAAAAGCATATGGCTTTTCATGCTGTACAATCCCATGCGCCCATGTGAATGGGTCCCAAGCGTGCACCGATCCAAACAAAGTTCCATGCAGCGTGTTCTGACTCTGGTGCTGCAGATAATATCTGTTTGTTGTGTTGGGACAGCTGGTCAGATATCTCCCTGGAAGACAAATGCTGTTCTTCATCAAGCAAACGTGTGCTAAAAGACTTACAGCAAAACACTTTATAAAAAGCAGCCACTTGCAACCAACATGCACAAACCACATCTCAACAATCACTGCCACTGTAAAAGGTGACTTGGTATGATCTACATTACAGCAAAGTGGTTTGGATACATACAAATTCTAAAACATGATTTTATATCAGTGGGATCTTTTAGACGTAAGGGGAAAACCTGTCAGTACTGCAGGGTGCGCACAACACGGTCAGAACTTCGGTTGCAGGACACAAATACTCCATAAAAAGGAGTGTATTCATTGTAACACATGACATGTGCTCTATGTAGTAGAGTATCTTCTGTGATCTCTGCATGTGGGCTGCACTACCCGCCCCTTGAGGCAAGGTTTGGGGAACATTACAGTGAATGTTGCAATACGGATTCTCTTCAGCTCTCAAATATGCACAAGCACTTATTACAAATACATGCTAGAGATATGATCTCCTTCTCCTCCCTTGGGGTTGAAAGAGAGTGTTCCGGTTAATCAGAGGAAGTAATCTACATAAAAGACAATTTGAGTGAAAGGTGTTCAGAATCCACACATTGGGATCCAACATTCCTCTTGGCTTTAAAGTGATAGTAAACCTTCAATTTTTTTTTTTTTAACCACTTGCCTACCGGGCACTTATACCCCCTTCTTTACCAGGCCAATTTTCAGCTTTCAGCGCTGTCACACTTTGATTGACAATTGTGCGGTCATGCAACACTGTACCCATATGAAATTTTTATCATTTTTTTTTCTCACAAATAGAGCTTTCTTTTGGTGGTATTTAATCGCCGCTAGGCACTTTACTTTTTGCGCTATAAACAAAAAAATTGCAAAAAAAGTTGAAAAAAAAAATAAGTTTCTTTGTTTCTATTATAAAATGTTTCAAACAGGTAATTTTTCTCCTTCACTGATGTGCGTTGATGAGGCGGCACTGATAGGCGGCACTGATGATGGGTACTGATAGACAGCTTTGATAGGTGGCACTGACTGGCATCACTGCTGGGCACTGACTGGCGGCACTGCTGGGCACTGACTGGCAGCACTGCTGGGCTGCACTGATGGGCACTGGTGGGCACAGGTGGGTGGCACAGGTGGGTGCACTACTGGGCACAGGTGGATGCACTGCTGGGCACAGGTGGGCGGAGTTAGTGGGCGCACTGCTGGGCGCAGGTGGGCGGAGTTAGTGGGCACAGGTGGGCGGAACTTGTGGGTGGCACTGCTAGGCACCGATCATCAGTGCCCTGATGATCGGTGCCGATCCCTGCTTTAACAACTGCTGGTTCTCGGCAGTACTTTCCTCACGATCTGACAGCGCGAGGAAAGTGCAGCCAAGAACTGGCAATTGCATTTCCCGGTGATCAGCGTGTCATTGGACACGGCTGATCACGTGGTAAAAGGCCGCTGTGATTGGCCTTTTACCACATCACATGATCAGCTGTGTCCGTAGGACACAGCGATCACGGAGATCGCCGGGTGCGCGCCCCTGAGCGCGTTCTGGGAGGATGTCATATGACGCCCACCCAGAACTGGCCGGCCGCAGTGCAGCCGTCATTCGGCTATCTGCAGTCAGCAAGTAGTTAAATGAAAAATATCAAACATGTTATACTTACCTGCTCTTCGCAGTGGTATTGCACAGAGCAGCCCCGATCCACTTCTGCTGGTGCTCCTGGCTTCTCCTCTTCGGCGTGTGCCACCATAGAAAACCACTTTCTATGGGGGCACTGAAGTGAGCTTGCTCCTGAGCTGCCCTGTCTGTGTCTATAGACACAGAGTGCGTTTCAGCTCCACCCCCTGCTCCCTCATCACCGAATTTGATTGACAGTAGTTGAAGCCAATGGCTCCCACTGATAGCATTCTGCTCAGGGAGAAAAGAGCGGAGAGCCTCTGCTCTCATGCACATCGCTGGACCGAGATCAGGTTCAGGTAAGTATTAGGGTGGACTAGCACAGACCGTGATCAGGCTCAGGTAAGTATTAGGGTGGACTAGCACAGACCGTGATCAGGCTCAGGTAAGTATTAGGGTGGGACTGGCAGAGAAAGTTTTTTACCTTAATGCACAGAGTGTATTAAGGTAAAAACCTCAAGGCTTTAGAACTACTTTAATCATTGTTGAGAAGTGCATTTATTATTGAAATAATGAAATTATTGTAATTTGGATATTTGTCAATTACTGATCCAGTTTTTGTCATGTATGTTGTGATGTGGCCTTTATTTTATTTTTTTTTATAGTGTTTTGATTTTAGCCCCTTTTTGTATTGTAGTTTGCATGGGTAATCTGTTGCATTATGACCTCTCCCAGGAGGCTGGGCAGTTTAGGTGATAATCACTCACTTTTGTATGTTTAAGCCAGCTATGACTAAGGCTGTACAAAGTCAAAATGAGTACGCAGACCGTTTTGTTTTAAATGTTTTTGGATGTAATAAAAGTATCAGAACGTGTCGCTGTTTGCAGGACTTTTGCATTACAGCTTAATGGTTAGTACTTCTGCCTTGCAGCACCGGAGTCTTTGATATGAATCCCAGCCAGGACACTATATGCATTAAGTTTGCATGTTCTTCCTGTGCTAGCACAGGGCTTTGGTATGATCTATGGGCACGAGGTGAAAAAAAAAACAAAACAAAAAAAAAACAAAAACAAAACATAATTACAGCGCAGTCTATAGCAACAAATTCTTTGATTTGTCAATAAAGAATTCAGACAAAACCTGGATGTGTTTAATGTAAAATACCTTTTTTAAAATAAATTTCAAACCAACATGCACAAACCTCGAGCACAGCACAAGATTTAGGTCACATACAATGATAAATTATGCATTTGTCATAGTGATACAGCCTCTTCCTCTTGATTACGTCTTTATCCTTTTCCCTGCCTCAGTATATTCAAAGCAATGAAGAACAAGCATACCTCTGGTTTACTAAGGCTGGATGACACAAGAGAACCCGACCCCACATCCAAGTCCCATTGCTTTCTCCCATGGTTTTCAGGATCCAGGGCTGAAATTCTTCCATCCAATGTACTGATTATGATCAAAGACCTGAGCGGAAAAAAAAAAAAAAAAAAAAAAAAAAAAAAAAAAAAAAAAGGAAATCGTTTTTACTCATGTCACTTACATACTGTATACCAACAACGACATAGTTCTGAAACGTACCACAAAAAAGTACCAAATGTAGAGGGAAAATGGCTTTTTATATATCACTAAGCACTATTCAACAAATATTCGTACGTCAATGACCGGCGCGGGACTCGTTCTATAGATGCAGGTGAAGTACACACTACTGCAATTATCGTGTGCTGAATGCACCTCAACACTACCAGACAGAAGCAGGGTGGATAAAAATCAATGATTTAAAAAAAAAAAAAAAAAAAAAATCAGATTTTTTTTATTTAAATTGGATTTTTTTTTTTTATTTAAAATCGGATTTTTTTTAAATAAAATGCTTTTTGAGGAAAATATATTACCATCCAAAGGTTATTCCATCATGAAATAAAGATTAGTTTTTTTAATTATGTAGAATAAGGCTGTATATGTTTAATTTGTTTGGTAATAAATTCCATGAATCCATTCACAATGTCAGGCTCTTCCAGAGGTTTTTGTAAGATTATTGGGCAGTTTCTCTGCCTACAAGATATTATCACAGATGATTGGTTTACTTTTGCAGTTCTCAAAACTGAATTGGACTCAGCGGAGATCACATGCCTCTTCTTCACAGCAAAAATGTTATAACATGAACAGAGTTAAGAAAAAGACCTTCATCCTAACTTCTACAAACCTATGAATACAGAATCAACCCCTTCACTGCCAAGGTGCAAGAAGTTCAGTGAATAGAATAGAAACAATATTTTTCTGATTGTTTGGAGTGGAATAGATCTGCACAAGAAGAAAGTGAAACTAAGTGTGAGGAGGAGGAAGGGGCTGACAGTGCGAGGAGGGAGGGGCTGACAGTGCGAGGAGGGAGGGGCTGACAGTCTACGTTTCTTAAAATATATATATTTTGTTTAGCCAAATTAGTTAAACATGGATGTTTAAGCAAATCACATATGCTGGAATGTTATTGTTTCAGTTGAATAAATCTATTTAAATTGTTATTATTAAGGGAATGATTATTTTTCTCCTTCCTAAGTACAACAGAAAAGTTGTCCAAAATATGAATGATTAACCTATTAAACTGGGGATAAAAAAACTAATATGAAAAGTTGTTATTCTAAAAATCTTCATCTTCTTGCATATTAAAGTTATAGCAGCAAGAATTAGTCTTTATGTAGAAAACTAGGATTTAAATCAAGCCTGACTAGTGATTTAAATCAGTTTGATTTAAATCAAATCCACCCTGACACACACACACCAGTAATGTTACCGACACACACAAATGCTTGTCTTACTATTTTGAAATCCCCTTCGTGTGTTTTCAGTGAACATACAATCTGAGTTAGCAATGCAATATTCACCTTTAAAGCCCAATTCCAGCTTCAAAAAGTAAAAAGGCTCATTTACAGCAGAACACCAGCATTCTTGTATGTTTAAAAATGTTGCATTATGCAACCCACTCAACATTAATGTGCTGTAATTCACGTCAAGGTGAGAACACACACACACACACGTTATCGATTTGTCTATGGGGTAACATTCAAAAATGAATAGAACTGGCATGATAAAATAGCAAACGTGGTAATGCAAATGGTCAGAATAGCACCAGTTGCACAGTTCCCGATGTACACAGGACAATATCTTCTGGGACACTGACTTGTGTGCAGCCTTGTGCTGCTGCCTGTTGGCATGTTACAAAACTAGCTTTTTTGATATTACCATGTACACAACAAACAATCACCTTAAAAATAATTGTATATAAAATTTTAAAAATATTTATTTCACAAATGCAACCATTCATGCCCACTTTTACTAGCTTTTGTTTACAAAAAAAAAAAAATTAAAGCTGATGCATTTCCTTTAAATCAGACATTCCTCAAAATGAACGCAGTGCAAAAAGAGTAACTGGAAGTGCGCACCATATGCGTGAAATCCTAATAATTCATGCCATCTATAGACACCTCCCCCAGTGTCACACAGTCACTGGAAGATACAAATGTAAGAATGTAGATCTTACCTAGAGACATGCAGCACACCAATGTTGAGTTTCTGGATCATCCCTGACTACTTCGCTGCACTAACTCACACACAGCAGGACGGCTCTGAAGCACAGCTGACCACACAACTGTTTGCCTATGTGAGAACTAATTCCTGTGTTTGGTCACATGAGTTTGCTAAGCTGCAATGTAAACAGATTACATTCATCCCAGGACAAGATAACAGTTCAAGCATGGGATCACCAGATATTTAACCCTTAGACGATGGAGTGAAACTTTATGCTCTGTAGATTTTAAAAGACTCAGCAAACACAGATCTTTCCACCAAGAAGTAAACCAAAACCATGAACAATCAATCTCCAAAACAGCGCATGAACACGGGGGGGGGGGGGGGGTGGGGGGGGGGGGGGGGGGGGGGGGGGGGGGGGTGTTACACAAAGGGGTTGATTTACTAAATAGACTGCACTTGCAAAGTGCATCTGCTCCAGAACTTAGTAAATGAGGCAAAGCTTCACTTTGCAAGAATACCCAAAGATATGCAAGGAAAATTAAAAAAACAAACAACAAAAAAAAAAAACCACACATGATTGGATGATGGAAGTCAGTGGAGCTTCTGCTCATTTAGCAAGCTCTGGAGCAACTGCACTTTGCAAAGTCTAATTCCCTTTTGTAAATCAATCCCAATGTAAGTTTAAAGTGTTACTAAACCCACAACAGTAAAATCAGTCTGTATATGCAGTAAAGCATGCTTGTTATACTCACTGTGGAACCTAAGGGGTTCATCCCTGGCACTATGTAAAAAAGCTGTGTGATCCTGTCTTCTCTGCCCCTACTCTTGTTCAAATGTCCACGCTGATAAGACCGACTGAACCTGTAGCCCTTCTGCACATGCTCAGTTTAGTGTGTATTGCCAGCCGGTTTTTTTCTTCTTGGGAGTACATGTGATCAGCACAGGGCCAATCAGCACTGTCCAAACAGAGGTTTGGGGTTCTACATCCTCCTAGAGCAGAAAGAAAACTCCTCCTACAAGCTTTAACCAGTGCTCTGCTGAAGTCACAAGACTGCTCTAACTGCTGATATGAAAAGGTATTTAGCAGTTTATATTTACTAAGAAAATTGCATTTCCATGTTCTCTGTAATGTGGGAAACCAGGTATAGTGAATGTAGAGTCCGGGGTTTAGTAACACTTTAATTGTTCTAATAAAGAAGTGATGCATATAATCTCCAACCAACAAAATTCCTTCCAGTATTCAAATCCCCTGAACGCCTTACTACACAATGAGACTGTTACACAACTGCTGCAAAATAAAGGCAGCCATAGATGATTCGAAAACTGAACGAAAATACTTGACGATTGTCGAATCATTCGCTTTTTGCATCTTTAGTGTGCCAGCTATGACACACAATTTTTGTACCATACCCAAAAAGGTAGCTTCATCATGTGATCATCCTGATCCACACCCACGTACCTTCCGCACTTAATCAACCAAATTCATGCCTCGATGCCTTCATCATGTGACAACCATGACCACTGCATAGGTACCTTCATCATGTGACCATCCCGACCCACACCCAAAAAAAAAGGTAGCGTTATCAAGTGACCATCCTGATTCATACATGGGTAGCTTCATCAAGTGACCATCCTGATTCATACATGGGTAGCTTCATCAAGTGACCATCCTGATTCATACATGGGTAGCGTCATCAAGTGACCATCCTGATTCATACATGGGTAGCGCCATCAAGTGACCATCCTGATTCATACATGGGTAGCTTCATCGTGTGACCATCCTGATTCATACATGGGTAGCATCATCAAGTGACCATCCTGATTCATACATGGGTAGCTTCATTGTGTGACCATCCTGATTCATACATGGGTAGCATCATCAAGTGACCATCCTGATTCATACATGGGTAGCTTCATCGTGTGACCATCCTGATTCATACATGGGTAGCTTCATCAAGTAACCATCCTGATTCATACATGGGTAGCTTCATCGTGTGACCATCCTGATTCATACATGGGTAGCTTCATCAAGTAACCATCCTGATTCATACATGGGTAGCTTCATCAAGTGACCATCCTGATTCATACATGGGTAGCTTCATCAAGTGACCATCCTGATTCATACATAGGTAGCTTCATTGTGTGACCATCCTGATTCATACATGGGTAGCATCATCAAGTGACCATCCTGATTCATACATGGGTAGCATCATCAAGTGACCATCCTGATTCATACATGGGTAGCTTCATCAAGTGACCACCCTGATTCATACATGGGTAGCTTCATCGTGTGACCATCCTGATTCATACATGGGTAGCTTCATCGTGTGACCATCCTGATTCATACATGGGTAGCTTCATCGTGTGACCATCCTGATTCATACATGGGTAGCTTCATCGTGTGACCATCCTGATTCATACATGGGTAGCATCATCAAGTGACCATCCTGATTCATACATGGGTAGGGTAGCATCATCAAGTGATCATCCTGATTCATACATGGGTAGCGTCATCAAGTGGCCATCCTGATTCATACATGGGTAGCGTCATCAAGTGACCACCCTGATTCATACATGGGTAGCTTCATCGTGTGACCATCCTGATTCATACATGGGTAGCTTCATCGTGTGACCATCCTGATTCATACATGGGTAGCATCATCAAGTGACCATCCTGATTCATACATGGGTAGCATCATCAAGTGATCATCCTGATTCATACATGGGTAGCATCATCAAGTGATCATCCTGATTCATACATGGGTAGCGTCATCAAGTGGCCATCCTGATTCATACATGGGTAGCTTCATCGTGTGACCATCCAAACCCATACCTAGAAACATTCATCACGTGACCATCCCAATCCATACCCATAAGGCACCTTCATCATGTGACCATCATGATCCATACACAGGTACCTTCAATCATGTGACCATCCAAATTCATATCTAGGTATGTTTATCATGTGACAATCCCCATTCCTACATAGGTACCTTCATCATGTGACAATTCCGATCAATTCATGGGTCTTTATCATGTGACCATTCTGATCCATACCAAAAAAAAAAAAAAAAAAAAAAGATACCTTTATAATTCATATTGAAAATGCGTTTGTTGATAACTTGTGAGCCACTAATAAGGTATTAACTGGATCGCTGACATAAATCACATTCTCATGTAATGTGTATATAAAAATCTATAAACCAAATATGTCGTGCTCCCAACACAAATCATACAGTGTTAAACCAAATTCCCACAACACAATTATAAAAAATATATGTGCCACCTAATTGATAATCAATATGTTATAAACTAATGTTAATATAACAAATGACAATCCCAAGATTACCCCACTGGTCACGAGGCTTCTTCAGGGGGTTGTGATTGGCTAATCACAACCCCCTGCCTGATGAAGCCACGTGACCAGTGGCGTAACACATAGGGGAGGGGCTACGATGTCACTCTGCACCCGAGGACAACGGCGAGTATACGCACTGTGCGGTGCACACAGACAGAGATTGTTGTATCTAAAAGGCGCTATATGCTTTTATCTAATGTGAGTGCAATATTTGGGCACCTTAATAAAGGTTTACTTTTTTAAAGGATAAAGCACTATGTCCATATTCCTTTCCTTGCTATATGTTTCGGAGGAATATCTAGGAGAGGATTGAGGAGGAGATTTACAGCACTGAAGCAGGGAGAGATCCTTGCAGGGATATCAAGCACACGAGGAGAGGAGTGCTGAGAAGCACTTAGGAGATACCCACCACCTATTCTATGGTGCAACAAATCATATCAGGTTCCATTTGTGAACAAAAAGCGTAATCAGCCTAATAGGCTTAAAAGGAGGTGAGCGCACAACTTACCCATAATAAGGATTCATAATAAGGCCTTAGATCTGCATGCTGGAAGCTACTAAAGCAACAGAATCTGGACTTTCCTACCACTGGCCGGCACATGCACTCTGAAGGAACGGCAGATCCGCGCGGTCCCTTCAGAGCTGTGTGCCGTGACCCAGGACTCCTGTCAGACGGCCAGAGCTTGCGAACCCAGAAGGAAGACCGGTGAAGATGGAAGCTTGTATTGCAGTGACAGCGTGCCGCGTGAGGGCTTCGTTTTAAGAGTTTTCCTATATACTCCCAGAGGATATTTGGATAAAGAGCCCTCACCCGCAGAACCTGCACTCTGAAGGGACCTTTGAACGTGTCTCACATCTGAGTACTACACCTGAGACGTGACCAGAAGGCGTACAGGATCCTGACCCCTACATGAGTACTGATGACCTCGTACACACCAGGTGAGACAGGCATATCTCAAAGGCGTAATTTTTACGCACTTCTGGTGAGTGTGCAATTTACTCATTCATTGTATTTCATCTACCACTTTGGATCAAGTCCTCCACGCACCTATTTTTAGGATCACATTGGATCCTCACGTGGGCTTCTCCTACCTTGGGACATTTATTATTAGTCACCATTAGTGACTTTGTTTTATCCATTGATTCATCATATATCCAGTCTGTTACTTGATTTCCAGCGCTGCACTTACTTTGTTATATGTCATTTTGAAGGTGTTGTTTGGTTACCTTTTAGTGTTCTAGCCGCTACATCCTACTTCTGATAGCGCTCGTATTACCGCGTTTTTACCTATGTTTTTTTTAAACACTCATCAGCTGATCTAATCATTGAGTATGCGGCTTCTTGATCTTGAAGTCCTTGCCTATTTTTGCAGTTTAGACTGGTGCTACGACCACTGTCCCAGGTTTCCTGTTTTAGGGTGGCTCCTTTCTCTTTTATATCCTAAGGAGCTACCCTTGCATGCAGGGACTAAAGTTGTGTCTCCCCACACTGTGTACATCAATAGAAACACACAGCCCCATAGCCTAGGATGGCATGGAACTCCCCTGCTCTTCCCTCCTCAACCCCCCCCCCCCCCCGCTCCATACTAACAGACTGACTGGAGATGGCACTGTTACCTCTTCTCTGTAAAGACTGGAAGTTCAGATAAGCAGCACTAAGAGCAGGAGCCAGCGATATTGAAAGCTGTAAACTGCAAGTGCTGCGGTAAGAATTTTAATACATAGTTTACTGGGGATTATTTTTTTATTGTGGTCAAAGTGCAAAGCTAATAAACACTGAGGGTATAATAATACTTTAGAGGTTAAAATACACCTTTGCAACTGGGAGCGTTATGTTTTACATGCAGATTACATGAGTGAATGCATTTCATGCATTCATTTGGAATGGAACATGGATGCATTAACACTATACAGGTCAGACACACATGCACTGTAGCACGCCCAATCAATGGTAACAACTACCAGGCATTGTGGTGTTCTGCATTGGAAAAAATGCTGCATATTTGTTTATTGGTCCATTCCTGTTCATTATTAGCCCAAATAAAATGAATGGGCTCTCTTAACACAATTCATTAAAACATGTGACCCACTGAGGATTAAAGTGCATGAACACAACTCACAGGAACGGAGTCTGAAAGGGCCCAAGCATTCAGTTGTGGTGATGCACATACAGTAACATCCCGGCAGCAGCCAGCTAAGTTGCCAACCTACCAGAACAGATTAAAATAACATGGTGCACCACAACACACTGTACAGGTGAAATGCGAAAAATTAGAATATCCTGCAAAAGTTCATTTATTTCAGTGCAGCAACTTAAAAGGTGAAACTAATATATGAGATAGACTTATTACATGCAAAGCAAGATAGTTCAAGCCGTGATTTGTCATAATTGTGATGATTATGGCTTACAGCTCATGAAAACCCCAAATCCACAATCTCAGAAAATGAGAATATTATGAAAAGGTGGAATATTCTCGGCTCAAAGTGTCCCACTCTAATCAGCTAAGTCATAACATCTGCAAAGGGTTCCTGAGCCTTTAACCACTTGCCTACCGGGCACTTATACCCCCTTCCTTACCAGGCCAATTTTCAGCTTTCAGCACTGCCGCACTTTGATTGACAATTGCGCGGTCATGCAACATTGTACCCATATGAAATTTTGATCATTTTTTTCTCACAAATAGAGCTTTCTTTTGGTGGTATTTAATCGCCACTGGGCGCTTTACTTTTTACGCTATAGATAAAAAAATTGCAAAAAATTTGAAAAAAAAAAAAAGTTTGTTTCTTTTATAAAATTTTTCAAACAGGTATTTTTTCTCCTTCACTGATGTGCGTTGATGAGGCAGCACTGATGGGCACTGATAGGCGGCACTAAAGGGCACTGATAGGCAGCACTAATGAGGGGTCACGGATAGGCGGCACTGATAGGCAGCACTAATTAGGGGTCACGGATAGGCGGCACTGATAGGTGACACTGATTATGGGTACTGATAGACGGCACTGACTGGCGGCACTGACTGGCGGCACTGACTGGCGGCACTGGTGGGCGGCACAGGTGGGTGGCACAGGTGGGTGGCACAGGTGGGTGGCACTTCTGGGCACAGGTAGGTGGCACTGCAGAGTGGCACAGGTGGGTGCACTGCTGGGCACAGGTGGGGGCACTGCTGGGCACAGGTGGGCGGAGCTAGTGGGCGCACTGCTGGGCAGAACTTGCGGGTGTCACTGCTGGGCACCGATCATCAGGGCACTGATCATCAGTGCCCTGATGATCGGTGCCGATCCCCGCTCTGACAACTGCCGGTTCTCGGCAGTACTTTCCTCACAATCTGACAGCGTGAGGAAAGTGCAGCCGAGAACCGGCACTTGCATTTCCCTGTGATCAGCGTGTCATTGGACACCGCTGATCACGTGGTAAAAGGCCGCTGTGATTGGCCTTTTACCACATCACGTGATCAGCTGTGTCCGTAGGACACAGCTATCACGGAGATCGCCGGGTGCGCGCCCCCTGGGGCGCGCAGGAGAGCGCGTTCTGGGAGGACGTCATATGACGTCCACCCAGAACTGGCCGGCTGCGGTGAAGCCGTCATTCGGCTATGCGCGGTCGGCAAGAGGTTAAATGGTCTCTCAGTCTGGTTCAGTAGGAATCACAATCATGGGAAAGACTGCTGACCTGACAGTTGTGCAGAAAACCATCATTGACACCCTCCATAAGGAGGGAAAGCCTCAAAAGGTAATTGCAAAAGAAGTTGGATGTTCCCAAAGTGCTGTATCAAAGCACATTAATAGAAAGTTATGTGGAAGGGAAAAGTGTGGAAGAAAAAGGTGCATAAGCAGCACGGATGACCGCAGCCTAGAGAGGATTGTCAGGAAAAGGCCATTCAAAAGTGTTAGGGGCTTTAACAAGGAGTGGACTGAGGCTGGAGTCAGTGCATCAAGAGCCACCACACACAGATGGATCCTGGACATGGGCTTCAAATGTTGTATTCCTCTTGTCAAGCCGCTCCTCAACAACAAACAAAGTCAGAAGCGTCTTACCTGGGCTAAAGAAAAACAGACCTGGTCTGTTGCTCAATGGTCCAAAGTCCTCTTTTCTGATGAGAGCAACTTTTGCATCTCATTTGGAAACCAAGGACCCAGATTATGGAGGAAGAATGGAGAGGCACACACTGCAAGATACTTGAAGTCCAGTGTGAAGTTTCCACAGTCTGTGTTGATTTGGGGAGCCATGTCATCTCCTGGTGTTGGTCCACTGTGCTTCATTAAGTCCAGGGCCAACGCAGCCGTCTACCAGGAGATTTTGGAGCACTTCATGCTCCCTTCCGCAGACGAGCTTTATGGGGATGCTGACTTCATTTTCCAGCAGGACTTGGCACCTGCCCACACTGCCAAAAGCACCAAAACCTGGTTCAATGACCATGGGATTACTGTGCTTGATTGGCCAGCAAACTCGCCTAACCTGAACCCCATAGAGAATCTATGGGGCATTGCCAAGAGAAAGATGAGAGACATGAGACCGAACAATGCAGAAGAGCTGAAGGCCGCTATTGAAGCATCCTGGTCTTCTATAACACCTCAGCAGTGCCACAGGCTGATAGCTTCCATGTCACGCCGCATTGCGGCAGTAATTGCTGCAAAAGGGGTCCAAACCAAGTACTGAGTACATATGCATGCTTATACTTTTCAGAGGTCCGATATTGTTCTATGTACAATCCTTGTTTTATTGATTGCATGTAATATTCTCATTTTCTGAGATTGTGGATTTGGGGTTTTTCATGAGCTGTAAGCCATAATCATCACAATTATGACAAATCACGGCTTGAACTATCTTGCTTTGCATGTAATGAGTCTCTCTCATATATTAGTTTCACCTTTTAAGTTGCATTACTGAAATAAATGAACTTTTGCACGATATTCTAATTTTTCGAGTTTCACCTGTATACATGCTGTGGTGCGCTGCGGTTATTCACAATGAAAGGCATTGCAAATATACAGCATGTGTGCTTACAATGCATACACATGAATGTGAATGTAGGTAGAACATGCATTATTGTGTTTTAATGCATGTTTTACCTGCTATAAATTCACCATTAATGGGTTATTTCTAATGCCAACCACAAAAGGTGTTTCAGACTGATCTGAAGGGCTCTCTTCTTGGCATCACGTGCCCTTTATAGAAGTTGTGGACAGCCCAAGGACTTCAGCTCCCAGAGGAACTACGCATCCCAGGATACTAACTCAACGTATTCATAGATTCACACTATTACCTCCAAGCCTTCAGTTCTCTTCCCTTCAGCACACAGCCTCAGAGCATCAGTCATCACCAAGGAGACTTCAGCGATCCTGGAAATCCCCATGCACACACATACCAGCTGTGCTTGCATATATTTAAAAAGAACCATATATATTACCGAGCTCCGCATTCCACCCTCTATGAATCATACATTGCCTCTAGATAGCACTGCCTTTCCGCTGAAGTTACACAATTCTCATCTCACAGCTGCAGGCAACGCAGTTATCTCACTTCCACCATCATTGGTGTTACTTCTTATTTCTCATACACGCGTGTGAAATCCTACCCAAAACACACTTTTGTTTTTAAAGCAGTAATAAAACACCACTTTGTCAGTTGTACCCACAGGTAATTCTTACAATAAATCTTACACCTGTATGTACAGTGAGCTTTACATCTTTAGCAGCCAGTGACATCACTGGCACATACGTACCGTGACCATGACTCCCACATGCATGCGTAGGAATGATGTCACCACGGCTTGGCCATTCAAATGACCAGAGCCCATAAGCCCGGAAGGAAAATTGGGTGAAGATGGAATCCCTGTTAGCTGTGACAGCTCACCGCTGGAGGGATCCATTTTGTAGGCAAGTCTTTTATAATGTACTGGTATCCGATGCAGAATAGTACATTATATCATTTAAAAAAAAAAAAATAAATTCTCCCTGGAAGTTAAAGACTTAACTACCGCTTTAAGTCAACTAACATGTCCAATATATGATCAAATCTAATCAAAATAACAGACTGTGGGGGGCAAAGAAGCACTGCAAGATTGTTTCTTTAGCCCATTCACAGCAGTATGCGGGTGTGAGAAACCCGCGTTTCCATGTGTTTTGAACGAGTTGTAGGAAACACACATCTGCAGTTGCAATCTGAAGCGGGTAACAACGTTAATGACACCCCAAACACACCTCGCAAATCAATACGTAAATACAGACGTACCATGCAATCAAGTTGCGGTGTGTTTTTTTAAAGTAGTGCATGCACTACTTTTGATGTGATCCAGTTTGATTCAAAATGAAAGGGCTCAAATCACGCAGGATGGCTCTGAATCTGAGAGAAAAGTGATGGATATGCACAGACGAGAACGTGCTCCAACACTGGGCAATACAGAGATGATCCTCACCATTTCTAACTTAGGTTAGAAACTCATTCATGCTAGAAATGTTTTACAGCCAGCACCTTCAAATTCTCATCACTGTGGTTGTTAACGAATGTCAATTTCACTCCACTATTAGAAAATTCTTCTTAAAACCAAAAATTTCTAATGAGATTCCATTAATGTATGGTCAGTTAAGTGTGTGATAGGAACAGAAGATCCTACACGCTTATAGGAGCAAAGACTGATCTGCATGGGCTGTTTTATGTCAGCACGTTGAGAAAAGGAAGCTGAATGTGTTACTAAAAACGTGGATATCTGCTGAAGGTGGCAATTCACTAAAGGTTACCGTATGTGATATAAAAGGTCATGTGACTCAATTATCGGAAATATCATGAGATTTAAAAAAAAAAAAAAAAAGTCAATTCAATGTAAAATATGGAATGTGAGGTAAATGCCGGACATTAAAATAGTGAAATAAATACTGCAACAAAACATGAGATCCATCATTAAAGCGGAGTTCCACCCAAAAGGGGACATTCCACTTTAAAGATTGCCCCCCACTCCTCATTAAGGATTGGCACCTTTGGGGAGTGGGGGAATTCTTGTGGGACACATGACAGGTCCCAGAAGAAGACAGGGCCATTTAGGACGCGCAGCGCTACTTGCGCATGCGCAGTGGGCTCCCGTCTGTGAAGCAGCAAGTTGTCACTGCCGGGTGCCCACACTGAAGGTGCCGGTGCCTGGAGTGCAGGATGGCCGGTGAAATGGGCTGCGGAGGGGGCAATGCGGGATTGTGGGACAGGTGAGTGTCTGTTTTTCAAAAGTCAGCAGCTACAGTTTTTGCAGCTGCTGACTTATTTTTTTTACAGAGTGAGAGGAACTCCGCTTTAAAGTCAATTCACTAAAAAACACACACATTGGTTATTTATCACCTGATTTTTGCTGGCGGTATTTTAGAAATGTACAAAACAATTAGAGGAAATCTGCACTGGCCAGAAAGTGAAAAGTATACATTGTATCAGTGAGAAAATGTTCTCCGGAGCTCAGGAATGTAAGTAAATTGTAACATTTCATCAGTGTGCGATTGTTTCGTGAATGAAACCACATTAGAATGTTTTCATAGTTTCACATGATTGCTGTGTGCCTTCTGGTGCAGTGTTAGCCTGCATAAAAAATAATTAAAAACAAGCCAAAAATAATGCAAAATGTAAGCACTAAATCTTGCAAAACATAAATATTTAATGCTTTCAATAAATAATGCATCTTTTTTAGTCCATTGACTTTTTCAGATAAATACCGCACAAGTTCTTTTAAACTCAAAAATTCATGCAGTAGGCAAGGTGTTTTTTTCTTCATGAATTGACCCCCAAAGTCATATAAATCACAGAGCTGTCAGCAGAAGAGAAATGTATATACAGTAAATGTATCCAATTTGAGGAAGGTATAACGTAGATTAGTACAAGTTTAAAAATTTTACAAAACCTTCTGTTTCCAAAGCCAACATCCAGCCAAGCACAGGTCACCAGTATCTAGCGTGCTCTTAAACCATGCTATGCAAATAATAAAAAAAAACGTTGGATGATAAAAATATGAGCTGCAGTACAAACAAATACAAAAAGAATAATAAAGACCAAAATTTAAAGAATAACACCAAAATAAAAAAAAATATAAAAAAAAATGATATACATACTGGTGAAATCTATAAGAAACCTGAAACAGGAAGGGTCCAAAAAGAAACCTGGAAATAAGAAACATGCCCATCAGAAGTTACACAACAGGGTGCCCAACTGCAGATGTTGAATGTCAGTGTAGAGGTCCTACCTGCATGCTGCCATATCCCTGTATGAAGGCTCATCCTACTCATGTCATTGACCTCCGAAATATACAAACCGTTTCATCAAACTAGTGTGACGTTAGGACAGCCCACTCTGAGAACTGCACCGGTGACCACTCTCCATCTCCCTTTTCATTTACT